CTCCCCCTCCTGTCCCTACTCCCCTTACTGACGACAGCATCCCTACTCCCCCTCCTGTCCTTACTCCCCTTACTGACAACAGCATCCCTACTCCCCCTCCTGTCCCTACTCCCCCTACTGACAATAGCATCCCTACTCCCCTTACTGTCCCTACTAACAATAGTATCACTACCCCTATCACTACTCACAGATCTCTTCCTGGCAGCTGGCCAGAAGATGCAGAAGACGAGACGCCGGTCTCGGGCTGTGAGACGGGATTCTGGTCCCGACTATTGCGTCCTTCATTGTAAGTCCTCATTCATCTCACTCCCAATCTTACGCAGCAGCTAACAGGACCTAGAATCGCCGTCGGAGTATCCGCGGCATTATATTGTTTCTCGACATATTTTTAGTCAACATCCTTAGGATCCTCAGCATTCTTCCAATGGTCACCATCTCTTATCACCAAATCCAAAAAACACCAAAAAAATTCGAAAAATACAAAACAATCACCAAAAAAATCCGTTGAATCGGCTTTCGACTTATTTCTTCCCTTTGTCAATTCTCAGCAACATACCTTACCTCTTATATCAGGCGACTTTCGGTCACCACCAAAAAAATTCGAAAAACACAAAACAATCACCAAAAAAATCCGTTAAATCGGCTTTCGACTTATTTCTTCCCTTTGTCAACTCTCAGCAAACATTCATACGGTATCGGTATTTTCAGTCTTGGCATTCTTTTTCCCTTTCGGACCGGCTTTCGACTTATTTCTTCCCTTTATCAACTTTCAACAACATTCATAAGGTATCGGTATTTTCAGTCTCAGCATTCTTTTTCCTTTTTCGGACCGGCTTTCGACTTATCTCTTCCCTTTGTCAACTTTCACCAACATACCTTACCTCTTATATCAGGCGACTTTCAGTCACCACCAAAAAAAACTCGAAAAATCACAAAACAATCACCAAAAAAATCCGTTGGATCGGCTTTCGACTTATTTCTTCCCTTTGTCAATTCTCCGCAACATTCATACGGTATCGGTATTTTCAGTCTTGGCATTCTTTTTTTCCTTTGGGGGCTTGGGGACGCTTGGGGATGGGGAGTTGGGAGGTGGGAGGTGGGGGGCCTGGTGGGGTCTTCCGGATTGGGATTGAGAGATGGAGATGGAGATGGAGCTGGAGCTGGAGAGTAGGTTCGAGTCACAAGGGGCAGGGGGTGCGAGGTGGAGGTGGAGGTGGTGGGGCAGGTCGAGGACGGAGGACGGACGGAGGACGGATGGTGGTTTATCATTTTGGGGTTGTTGGAGTTGGAGATATCATTTTTGGGATTGGGGGAGCCAAGCCAAGCATAGATAACACGGGGCAGCAGTCGAGGACAACAAACATACCTAGACGGGGTATTCATACAAGCAGAATTCACATTCATACCCAACCAAACAAACTTCCAATATGGACTTGGTGCACTTTTTAAATACTTGATTCTTTGCTGATATGAGAAGACTGACGTTGTGATCTCATACCTTTAATCACAGAGTTTGAACAGATACGATATGACAAATGAGTAAATCCTCCTCCCTAGTTTTTGCCTTTCAGACGCCCATGCTTGCTTGCTTGCTTTGCTTGCTATCCATTATTCGCCCGGAACGCCCAAAAAAGGGATACATATATAAAAGAAAGAAAAAAGGAAGAAAGAAAGAATCATAGATAGAACAGCCAGCCACTCATCGCTTCCTACTCCTCGCCTTCGGTTTCTTCGAGAACTCATCCGTACTACCCATGACCTCCGAATCCAACATGTAGTCCCTTCCCTCCATGGGGCTCTTCCTACGCATCTCGCCGCGGCCAACCGCGATGAACTCCTCCTCGCTCTCGCTATCATTCAGGTCCAGCTGGACCGGCATGCGGAAGGCGTTCTCCTCCTCGACCATCTCGCCCTTGACCGGCTCGATGGTCAGCACGTCGATGTCCTCGTCCTCGAGATCCAGGCGCCGCTTGTGGATCTCTTCTTGCGGGTGGATGTCGAACTCGTCCTCGCGCTCGATGTACTCGACGTTCTCTTCGACCTCGGCGAAGTCGGGCGCGAGTGCTGACCAGCGCTGTTGCGGGACGATCGACCACACGTGGATCCGGCCCGTCTCGAGACCGCAGGCCGCGATCAGGGGCCGGTGCGGATGCCACTCGACGACGCCGTGCTCTTCCTTCGGCCCCTCGAGGATCTTGACCAGGCTGCCGTGGTTCCGCTCCCAGATGTAGATGTCGTGGTTGTTGTACGTGGAAGCCGTCACGTATTCGCCCGTGGAGCTGAAGGCGACGTGGTTCCAGGACAGTCGGTTCACGACGTCTTGGAATTTATGCTCAACTTCAATGTCGATGGTGTCGGGGTCCAGATCGGCTGCTGATAGGTTGGGCAGCTGGATCGTTCGGATGATCCTGTCCTGAGCATTCACCACTACGTCTCGTCCTGAGCTGGTGAGGCGTAGGTAGATAACAACTCCTGTGCAGATCTTCGTTGAGTATATCGTTGTCCGCGTAGCAACCTCTATTATATTCAGCCACCCCTTGTTCGTCCCTGACAGGACATGGTCTCCGGAGGCTGTAAAGATCGCGACCGTCGTGGTCTGCTTCGCATCTTGCGCATTCTGCCGGTTCCTGGACGCTTCATCTTCATCGTATTTTGTTCGTTTCGGAGCGGAGGGTAGATTCAGCCTCACGGCTTCAGGTTCAGACACATCGACTAGCAGCGGTTGGTCCTCGAACAAAGAGACCACGAACTTGAGACTGTTCGACGATTAGCGCGAGGGGGCCTCTAAGGCGCTTGTGCCCAACTCACTGATTCCATGGATGAAGCTCCGCAATGTAAACCGGTGCCTCGAACCGCACTGTCCGCAATATGCTCCCATCCTGTAGATCCCAGATGTTGCATTTCCAGTCCTGGCACGACGTGAGGAGGTATCGGCCGTCGCGGGACCAGCTGAGCGATTGCACTTGGCGTGTGTGGTCCTTAAGCTTCCGCGCTACCCCGTTGGTCTCGACGTCGAAGATCACGACGGTGCCGTCGACGCGGCCCGCAGCGAGCAGGTCGCCTTTGCGATTGAACCGCACGCAGGTGGCATGTCCGCTGCGAAGACTGCCAGTAGTCGACTCGGGGTAATCTTGCGCGAGCACAAAGGGATCGACGAGAGACAGGTTCATGATGCTGTGTGTCGTCGCTTGGGTCAATCCTGTCGTCGGGAAAATGGTTGGAGGAGGGAAAACCTAGCCTCGTTCGTGGAGTTGAAGGCGAGGCTGAGAACTCCCAAAATCTTAAAAAACTAGGCTGAGGTCACGTGGAACACCAGGACATTCCCGCTTACCTAGGTACCTTAACAGTCCCCCCCTTTTCCCCTTTTCCCCTCAGCGAAATCTATGGTTTCCAAAGAGCCAACTATCAACAGTTTGCGATCTTTTAGTGTCAATCGGTTTGTATACCATTTAATTTATACTGGCATGGAAGTCTGGTCTGCTGGCTGACCTCTTCTTTGCCGTCGTGTACTACTGTACATCTAAAAATGCCTTGAATGCGCCTCGCTATGCTTTCTATACCGACCATCAGGTACAATATTATACAACTTCCCTAACACCTTTGGTATATACCACGCTTTGCAACCTTTCCCAAACTCCCAGGCTATGACTTTTGTTCAAGTGTTCAGAGCTCAGATCTTATCATCCCTCTCTTTCAAGGCTCAATCCCTTCACTCCCGATATCACTTCCGCAGCCACATCTCTGTTCCTTTCTTCAACTGTGGCAGGACGAGGAATTTGAGAATCAGTGATCTGCGTATGATCATCTTCATGTCTTTCTCCCTCTACACTCAGCACAACATCTTCCTCGATTTCAACTTCTTCCTCCAGAACACTTCCCTCCTCTTCATCTACCGAGTCGGATAATATACTGTCATCCAATCCGTCCTCTCCTTCTTCTTCATATTCTTCGCCTTCTTCTTCTTCGTCTTCTTCTTCTTCGTCGTCTTCTTCATGAGAGATGTAGCTATCGCCCATTTCTTCGTTTACATCCTCGTCCTCGTCCTCTTCGTCTTCACTTTCACGGATGTCTTCGTCCCGAGCTTCCCTTTCGTCGCTCTCCGAATCGCTGAAGTCGTCAACTTCGAGGATTGGTTCTCGCCAGTATGTGAAATCAGTATACTCTTCCCCGCCACCCTTGACGAGTGTGTTGACGGGAGGGAAGTAATGGTCTACGACCTCACGCATGTTGACATAGCTGTATCTCAACTTGTTGAGACTCAGTAGATCCAGTGAGACTTCGGCATAACTGTTGATCGTAAAGATTCGATTGCTAGGGATGCTGACCGAGCGATATGACAGAGCATCTGTAAGTCTGTTACCGAACCCGGCATAGAACGGCGTTCGATTTGGGCCGAAAAGGTTTTTGATATCGCGCAGACAAGCCATTTTGAAGACTTCGGGTTTGCGAATGTACAGCTCTCTTCTTAAAGCCGCAATCGTACGGTCAGGGCTCATGATCGTCGGTCCACTGGGCAAGCGATAGCCTTCCTGATAGACGCCGTTAAGGTAGGCTCGAGTAGTATCAGCCTGCCCCACCGAACGGGATGTCAGATACATGATATTGTACCCGTTATTGACGATCTCCGTGTAAAGCTTCGCTACGCCTATATGCGTCCAATCGCGACCGATCATATTGAGCACATGGCCGAGAGCATCGGACTTGGTAATCGTGCCATCGATGTCAGAAATCACAATGGGAACGTCATACTTCCAAAGATACATATATGCTTGACAGGTTGCCCGATTTACTGTGAAGCTCATTGGATTCGGGCCAGGTTTCAAGCCCAGGGTCTTCAATTGATCGCTTGTCAGGCGAAGTGTCTTCGCGTAGTTGCGATTTGGATCGCCCGCACTCTCTGGAGGCGTCTTGGGCGGGGTTTCTAAGCCAATCCGGGCACCTTCTGAATCCGCACGGCGATGAGTGGGGACGGCGGGTGTACGAACAATATCGCTGTCTGCGTCACTGTGATACCCTGGGTCTGATGCGGCGTCACTGGTCAAGGCCTCGGGATTTCGAATGCCCGCAGCCTCCGCCCTCTGACTTGCGGCCTCTTTGGCCTCTTCACTACTGTATATCCACAAATTGCCATGCTCATCAGCTCCAATGAGAGCCCCTATGTCATAGTTACCTTCCAATTCCTCGGACAGAATCTTTCTCGCAATGACTTCTGCTCGAAGTGCAGCATCGTCACTACTTTTGTATCCCGTCATATCGAGCATTAGATCTCCCGTATCCGTGACCTGACTAGGTATATTTGAAGCAGAAAGGCGGTTTGATAAAGCCATCGCTCGTTCGATCGCTTCCTTTGTTGGTAAGGGTGGCGGACTATTGGATCTTTCGGTAGGCGCATCAGACGTTCTATCCTGTGGCAGGAAGGTTGGAGAGGAGGAACGATTCTGACGTTCTCGCCCTGTTCCGTCGCTGGTACGTGCACGGGCATCGGATGGGAGTGGTTCATCTGGGTTGCGTCGTCCAGAAGCAATTCCAGCCCAATCCCCTGATAATGGGCGCGCATTTTGATAATCGGGTGATGAAGATAGAGGGGTCAGAGTACCTGGTATGTTAGCTATGTCTAGCCTGAGGAGAGGGGAGCACTCACTGAGATTGCTGCCTCTCCTCTGCGAAGAAGCGGAAATCGTCAAACTACCGGATCTTGCCTTCCCTGTCACAGTGTCTAAATCTAGGAAGTCTGGCTCGGAGAGATTAGGGACGCTTGAGCTTTCTGCCGGCAAGGGAGGGCTGGAAGCTGGTGAGACCAGAGGTGATGTTTGCATGGCCTCAGGAATAGTATCGCTCGTCTCAAACACAAAGAACGCCTCCCCTCCTTCCCCAAGCTTCATGGCATAATCCTGCTTGACATTGTTGACAGAAAATTCCACCTTCTTCTCGTACGGTCGAAGCAGGGAAAACTTCCCAAACCGGACGTGGAAGGGAGAGCACGCCAAGGACCCATCTTCTTGCTCGACAACTATGACATCGATGGCACCGCTAAGGGTTGCCGGGTTTATCGAGTTCCATGTTTTCGAGACTGATCCACTTATGCTCCTAACGTACTGCATGGCACTTGGGATGTGTGCAGAGCGGTCCCGGGTATTCGAATCGAGGCCAACAAGAGAGGGATCGAAAAGAGGTCGCGATGGAAGAAATTTATTGTATTCTCGAGCGGATGGTGCAGAGCTGGACGAGATGGTTGAGCGGGCTCTGGTGGGGGTGATGGGTCAGTTGATGAGTGGTGGATTGCTTTCGTTGGGGTTATCTGCAGGGTGGAATGCGGAGGCGCAGGGAAGTTAAGTAGAAGGGCCAGGGCCAGTCCAGATGGAAAAAGAGCTAATGGAGAAGCGTGAGAGGGGCGTAGCGAGCGGGAGAGGCAGCAGAATGACCGACAGAGGCGAAGGAGAGAAGAGCAGACGCTGAAGGAGTTGATAATGAGTTGAAGATGGCGTTGAAGAAGCAGAAGTTGAAGATGAAGATTGAAGTTGAAGCTGAAGATGTCCTCCTGATAATGCGGGTGACGTCCTGCGAGAGCCGATCCCTGCCAGGTACGCCGCTTTAATGCCACCTTTTTGGGGTTCAAGCGGCGCACCGAAGTCTGTCCGCGACTCCGCCCTCCGCATTTCTTTTCTTTTGCTTTTACCCGGGCCGAGGCCTCATGTGAGTTGAGTTGAGTTGAGGAGAGCTGAGTTGAGTTGAGTTGAGTTGCTCAACACTGACTCTGTATATGCCCCTATACAGCTACATACAGCTACATATAGATCTCATCTGCATACGCATACAGAGACATACCTCAGATACACAGACACAGTACCTATGTACGTACATATATGTCCGGATCTGCATGGTCAGGAAAAACAAATGTTATCTATCGATCCCGAATCTGCATAGGCTCTTCAGCTCTGCAGCAGGTGTCTCTATATCAATAGCAATCTGTATGTGCCGACCCCACGCGTGGATAGATATACGAGGATCAATACAGGGGTCTGTCTTTTGAGGCTTCCTAGGCACCTGGTACTTTACATGTGAAGATCCAGAGGAGCCATCACCTAAGTAAGTACTTGCCCAAGATTCTCAATGTGCAGTGAAATCGCCATGACCTGGATCTGCCGAATAATCCGAAACCCATGTAGAAGTGGTTTGACTGTGCTGTCCTGTTCCAAGAGAACTAGAACATACCTTATCGTTCTTCTATCCTTCGAATCTTTTCTCAGGGGGCATTCTCGCAACCCGCTATATCTAACAATAACCTATCCTCTGTTCTCTAGTTTTCTCGCACAATAACATAGCTGAACTTGAGACGACGGTGAGAAAGGAGAACACGAAATTGGTAAGAGAGCCTCTAGACACGCTTGACTAGGCTTCTCTTACCTACTCAAGGTAAAGAGCAGGTCGGACCATGGGGCCGGTTTCGCAAGTCTTCAGATGATATCCGTTACGGATACGTTTGGGGACTAAGACATAAGGGGATGGTAGGTACAAGTCAAGAGAGCGCACGTGAGTTTAAAGAAATGGTGATCAAAGGCAAAGAGAGGGACAGCAACAAGGAGAGTATTGATATCAACTCTAGATCATGCCTCTCTGAAACTCGAACAGGAATAAATTGATAAAAGTACACTTGTAGTGACAAGATAAATCAAAGGAGCCGCGTCAGAGATAGAAGGGGAGGACACAAGGGTAGAGCGAGAGGAGAGTATACAACAGAGAGTACGGGAGAGGCAGAGAGAGAAAAAAAGAAAAAAACAAGGAGAGCTTCCTTGAATACTTACCGCAAGAGAGACGGTACTGATACTGCGTGATCCTTCATACCATTACAATACCTACCGGCTGTAGTATGGTTGATGCTGTTGATTCTGATACCCGGTACGGTTCCTGGCGTACTCCCCACTACCGACCTAGTCATCCCATAATCAGATAAACTAGAAGTATGTATGGGAAGCGCTCTCAGCCACGATGATAACCAGATCACCAAAAAGATTTAAAATTCATATGCGATGGAGAATATCCTAATTCCAAGGGCAAGACCTGGCGCAGACTTCAGGCCTCCAAGGCAGCTTCGGTAAACAATATATTTCGGTGGAGAATTCTTCCTAGTCGCCCAACCACCGCCACGAACGAACGAGACGAACAACCACGATTGACGACAAAAGACAACGACAACGACAAACTCACAGAAAAGGTCCCTCCTACCTCAAGTCATACCGGCAACCCAGCACCCATCTGACTCTGCATGAATGCTGTCACGTATTACGGCGAACTGGTGAACTGGGTTTTGAGCCATGTCACAGACGCTGACATGTTCATCGTACAGTCCGCAGTGACTTGCTGCGCGCTCTTCTGGTTCGTGCGTTCCTTCTGTAGATCTCGAGGATACTAAGCATTGGAAAGGCTCCTTCATCGCGCATGGCTCACCCTGTGGAAGCCCGTTCCCGAGCTCATAAGCATCCTGGGCGTGGAGGTCCCAGATGCTCCAGCAGTATCACTCGCGGGGATCAAGGCCGATGCAGTCACTCTTCACTGGACACGGCCTGGTGCAAACAAACCTGTGATCAAGTACTTGATCCAGGTCAATGGAGTCAACGGTAAGGGCATAAATGAGCGTGGCGTGCAGCACCAAACTGATTATCTGTAGTGGGGGAATCTTCGCGTCTAGAGACCGCTATCACTGTTACGGGCTTGAAACCAGGACACTTCTACAATGTCCGAGTCATCGCTGTCGGGTCAAACAATTTTCAAGCTGGGAGTGGGGTTATACGTCTGAGGACATACGGTCGCGATGGCCGTCCACAGCTAGCTAACAGTCGTATGCCTCCAAACCTCTCCATCGAAGATCAACACAATGGTTCGGATAGCGGGGATGAGTCGCAGGGAGCGCGAGGTCAGGTCATTGGAGTCGAAGCCGCTGCTGCCCCGGAAGGTGCGCAGGTTATGGCTCGAGAGTCCAGCGGCCCCCATCCCGCCCCGAGGAGAAATACGGGTGGTAGGAGACATTCTCCATCGAACACAGCGGTCGATCACTCAGCTCTGGCAAATAGCGTCTCAAACCAACCGGAAGAGTCTATGCAGCAGTTGACAGAGCGGTTTGAAGCGATCCGGAGGGAGATAGAGGAATTGACGGCGCAGATTTCAAAGGATGCGGAGGAGTTTAAGTCCCAAATGCTTGATTTAATGAAAGAGAGGGATGAGAAGAGGCAGGCATTAAAGGAGAAGGAAGAGGCAAGCGAAAAGCTCAAGAAGGAGGTACATTATTCGGAGCGGGCGAACAGACAAGCGCAGAATCGGAAAACGCAAAAGGAGAAGATCCTACGGGATAAGCAAGCTGAGAGGGCTAAGATGCAAGATGATATGGTGAGGTGGAAGAAGGAGATAGAGGATATGAAAGCAGAGCGAGAATTGTGGAATGAAGAGCGAGAGAAGTTGAACGCCGCGAAGGAGGCCAGAGCTGAAGAACTCCGAGCAACGATCCGCAAACGACAGAACTCACTAAACGGGTTGGAAGAGGAGATCCGAGTGAAAGGGCTGCAAATCAAGGAGCTTGAAGAAGAGCGGAAACATCTTCCTGGAGGTCAAGACGATGAAGAGTCACGGGAACGTGATGCTGCTGAGGCGCAGAGTAATATTGAGTGGGAGCTCAAAGAGAGAGAATTGACCACCCAACTCCATAACCAGTCTTTGCACCTGCGGCAGCTTCAAGCAGAGTTTCACGGCCAGCAGGCTCTTTTCGCTGCTATCAGCGCGCGTCAAGCCAACAACCCGCTGATGTACCAAGGGAGTTCATCTGCTTTGGAGCTCGACCCAGTCGGTGGTCAAGTCAAAGCAAAATCGCGCCGAAGTCGAAATCGCAAGAGTCGAACCAGCACCATTTCCTCCCCTATTGCTGGCTATCCAATCACTGACTCGCCGTTTCCAAGCGCGAGTGCATACAACAATCTAAATGGCGCCTCTTGCTCTGCTTTTGCACCCGGGCCTTACTTCGATCTTAGCAACGATACTGCAATGGTGCCACTTTCGGAACACAATAGTGGTATGAGCGACGTAGACTTGCGTGCATTCACGGTTGGAGCACCCCTGAGCCCGACTGCAACTGCATTATTGCCTTCCAACATCTTTTCAGATGATGATCCTCCAAGCCCCCGTGCTGAATCCTCCGGCTCGTTCGGTCCTGCTCTTCATGGCAACCAGGCTTCCACAAATCACGACAACGACCCACAATCTCCAGGTTCTTCAAGCCGCTCAGCTAGTATCATGTCCAGTCCCCGTGAATCCTCACATGCAGTTTTTGGCGTATCCGGCCGCGAACATGCATCAGAGAATGATCGAAGATCCACGAACTCGCCCAGGACAGACTACGGCGCAATTGGATCCCCTAGTGGTTCCGATCGGGCCCCCGCTCACAAAGGCTTCGGAAACATTTTTGGTTTTCCAAGAGCTCGTGGTAAGACAACAGTGCAAGACGATGGGCCTGCTCTAGGAAGCCTCAAACAAGGCCAAAGTCAATCGTTTCCACGTTCTACGGAGGAAGCGGAAGCGATCGCTAATAGACCTCGCCGCATCAGCTTCTCTTCGGGCTGGAATGTCATGCCAAGCTTTCTGTCGCGCAACTCGCCGGCTGGAGAGCTTAGCACAGGCAATGCTCCAGCGCCAGCACGCAATGCTGCGGCGAGAAGAAGACGCGGGTTCAATATGTTTAGCTCGAGTATAGACGATCCCGCGACTCTGTTTTCTGATCGCGATCCTGGCAGTCCTCGCCCTGTGTCAACTGCTTCTTCTGACCTTCCTCGGCCATCGACAGATAGTGCACCCTTTGGTTGGCCTGCCGCCGATGGCAATGTCATGAACAGGAATAGTCCGCTTGCCACTAACTGGTCTATCAATGTTTCTCAAGCGTGGTCTAGAAACCCATCGAGGAGAACCAGTATGCAGCATGGCTCCAGCTCGGCGTTGACAGGCGGAATTGCGAGTGATGACGACGAGTTCTTGCCCTCAGACACCTTGGCTTGCCAGTCAAGCCCACCACCCGTTGGCGTTATTGGGACTCGCCCGCCTTCATCTCACAAGCCCATCACACCCAAACTCAACCCAGCAGCGCCAACGTTCAAAGCCATGTTTAGCCGCACTTCCAAGGCGGATAAAGCGAAGGCCAAAGAAAAGGCTGCTGAAGTACCCGCTCCCTCCGAGGAACGTCCGCAGACCGCTGAAACCTCATCACCTACCGAATCAAGAAAGTCACGCGATACTCGTTCAATTCATACTCAAAACAGCATGGCTGAGTCTCACGAGAGCTTGGAGAGAACCTCAAGCAACACGCCTTCCGATTTGGCGATCCCGGCAGTTTCTGGCGGGAAAGACAAGGAGTCATCTTTGAGACAGCTCCTCCGCAAGGGCAGTTCCAGCAAGTTTAGCTTGTCCTCTATCCGCGGAAAGGACTCTGCTCTCTTTGGCGGGAGGAAAGGAGGCAGCAGCAGCGCCGCAAACTCAGACCACAATGCCGCCGTCGAGCGTGACGGTAGCATTGACGAGTACAGCGAGGACGCACTAGGCCGCAGTGTCGAGAGCGTAACCAGCAGTTCCATGATCGGCAGCCTCGGCTCCTCGGCCGAAGGCAAGGGCAAGGAAAAGGAAAAGGAAGCCGGGACGACGACGACGACCCCGAAGGAGGGCCGGATCAACTGGGGCCGGTTCGGACTGAAGAAAGATAGGACCAAGGGAGGTCGGGAGAGCGTGGATCTACGGGAGAGCTTGGATGTGGACCGCAGCGAGGCGGAGACGACGGATGATGGTGCCATGTAACCAACCACCACCTATGATGGATGACCCATACTAGTTTTTTTATGCTTGGCTGTATACTCTTAAAAAGTAAGGTATGCATTAGATGTCGAAATGGAATAACGTTGGTTACTTGTTGCATACAGAATATTTTTTTCCTCTCCAGCGCCGTGAGATGTGTAGTTGAGGAACTTGAGTTATACAGCCTTAGAAGAAAAAGGGGGCGAAGGTTCGGTGCTGCGACTGTCTGTCTGCCCTATCTAGCCAAATATCACTGAACACCTTCTCATCTCTTAAAGCGTTGGTTAATAATAACATAGACAGACATGGGCTTTTATATGTTCTGGGAGCCGGATAGAGAAGATCTCATATTCGCAGTACCAAGAGAAAAGAAAAAAGAAAGAGGGGGGTTCTAGAAACAGCGCCGACTATATTCAGAAGATGAGCACTCTAAATCTCTCTATATACAAAATTTCCACCTTCTTTTTTTTGTTAATAAAAAAAACCAACTCCATGAGCAGCGATAGGACTTTGACAGGCTTTGAATTTTTTCATCAGAACTTTGAATCTGCTGAGATGGACATTTTTTCTTCAACATCTCTCGTCCGACTGTTATTTCGGAGGAGACAAGGCACTCACTGCCTTTCAACGATTTAAATGCTAGGCACCGTTTCTTGTCAAGCTATATAGATAGCTATAGTCTGGCCTCTCATATCTTATTGTCGTCCATGTACTTCAATCTGATGCTCACAGCTCTCCTGTGGGCCTCCAGTTCCTCGACCTTGGCTAGGTGCATCACTGCACCGCCGATATTTCTCAGGCCTTGAGCTGTCAGGTTTGAGCTCGTGATGTGCTTGACGTAGGATCCGAGATTGACTCCTGAGTACTGCTTGGCGTAGCCGTAGGTTGCTAGAATCTCGTCAGCTGGCGACCCGACTTGACAATGCGATGGGAAACTTACGCAATGAGTGGTTAACTCCAGCGGAATAATCACCGACACTCTCTGGTGTCCATTCACCAATGAATACACTGCCTGCATTCTCAACAAGATCAACAGCACTTGCTGCATCCTTGAGCTGCAGGATTAGATGCTCTGGAGCATATTCATTACTTAGCTTCAGGGCCTCTTCTACACTCTTGACTTCAAGGGTGACGGAATGTTGAATGGATCCCCTGACAATATCTACGCGTGGCAATGCCATGCTCTGTGCATGTAGCTCATCTTCGATGGCCGCCAGCTCTTTCTCAGACAGATCGACAGCAATCAAGATCACTTGGCTGTCAACACCATGCTCGGCTTGTGACAAGAGGTCTGATGCAACGAAGGCTGGGTTGGCGTATTTGTCTGCAATTACCAGTACTTCGGATGGACCAGCAGGCATATCAATGCTCACACCGGCATTGGTATCGTTGCTGACGTACATCTTGGCTGCGGTAACGAATTGGTTGCCCGGTCCGAGGATCTTGTCCACCTTGCTGACGTTTTCGGTACCGTAAGCCATCGCTGCTACAGCTTGGGCCCCTCCAGCCAAGACAATGCTCTCTGCGCCAACTTTGTGGGCAATGTAGACGATCTCGGGGCTTATGCTACCATCTGAACGAGGCGGCGATGCGAGAACAATCTTCTTACAACCAGCGACCATGGCTGGTACGCCAAGCATAAGAGCAGTACTTGGCAATACAGCTGTGCCACCCGGAACATACAGACCAACACGCTCAATTGGCCTGGAAAATCTACTACAGATAATTCCAGGCATTGTCTCCACTCTCAGTGGCTTTTCTTCCTTCTGTGCTGCGTGGAATTTGCGAATGTTCTCAAATGAGGCATCAATTGCTTTAATGGTCTCGGCCGGAAGGTTCATGAGGGCTTGTGGGAATGGAGCCTTGAGAACGGGGGATGTGAGTGATGTTGCCTTTTCGAATTTGTGGGTAAAGCCAAGAAGAGCTTTATCACCTCCAGTCCGTACTTCCTGGATAATCGGTTTCACAATTCCCATTATCACATCAGTAGACTTCTGTGACGGCCTCTGTAGCACATCCTTAAGCTCTGCTGCTGATATTGTTGAAGCGTTATATCGCTTCATGGCAATTCGTCCATTGTTTGACTCAACCTTCTCATCGGCAGCTTTTGGTGCGGGGGCAGCACTGGTAGAACCATTCGTAATACCCTCTTTGGCGGCCCACTGTCCCTTTGCATCACCTTGTCTCCTCTTAACCTTCACACTCTTGGCATCAAGGCTTCGTTCAATATCTGCAAGGCTTACACCAGCGCTGACGGCCTTTGTCAATGCAAAGTATATGAGATCAGCAGCTTCAAATGCAACATCTTGCTTGGTCTTTGCATCACACAATTCTTCAGCCTCCTCCATTATTTTAGCTCGCAATAGCTTCTCATCCGAGAACAAGCGTGCTGTGTATGATCCTTCAGGGGCGGATGCTTTTCGCGAAACCAGTGTCTTCTCAAGTTTTGAGAGCCCTCGAAGTTCACCGAAACATGTCGACTGGGGTAGGTGACAGAAACCTGGGACAGTTAGAGAAAGATCACAATTCGAAACCTTATGCACATACCACGGCCTTTTTGACGGACCACAAACTTCAAGCAATCTTGGTCGCAGTCCAAAGCTACCCGGACGAGCTCCTGCGTATCCCCGGACGTTGCACCCTTGTACCACAGGCCCCGCTTGCGGCTTTGGTATACCCCCGTTCCAGTCTTCAGCGACTCCGCCAAACTCTCCTCACTGCTATATACCAGTCCCAGGGCAATTCCTCTCTCATCTGTGACTACCGTAGGAATTAATTTATCAGGCCTGTCGGAAGACCATGATCCTCCAATGGCTGCGGGAACCGAAATCCGTTCCTTGTCAGCCTTGTCTATCGTAAGTCGCGTAGCAGGTATGATTGGGATGGCGGAATATTCAGTTGCGACCTTGATAGCGGACTCGAAGTCGATTTTGGGAGCCACAAGAAAGATTGGTGACACCTTGCGGGCCTTCAATTGCTGGAGAACTTGCTCAGAAGGAGACTTATCATCGCCAGCGTTGAACAAGACGCCATTGGAGTATATGTCGCCGGAAGCAGGGTGATCTTGGGTCGAAAAGACGGGAACCACACGATCTGGGTACGCCTTCAACGAGTCCAGCTGTTGGCCCACTGCTACAAAGACCTTGCGTGCGCCGGCGTCTAGGATTGAGATAACGTCGTCTGTCGAGTCAATTGCCGTCACATCGACGTACGTTTCGATTCCAGAGTGTCCCTGGAGGAATTGAAGGAGGGTGTCGACGTTCGCGCTACTCGCTACGAAATGAACGCATCCGAGGTATGACAGTTGTTTCCTGGTCAAGCCCTCCGTCGATTCAACTGGGCCCTTCCCCAGATCCACCGTGGGGAGGAAAGGCAGAGGCAGGGTGGTGTCCATACCGAGCAGTGCGGTGTATAGACCGGGAGTGTAGAGTGTTGTCGGTGGTTGCGGTGGTGGTGTGGAATCAAAGGATCAAAGGACATCCATGACTCTACTACGTGAAGGTGGGATGGCGGGGAGAATTTCTTACCTATTTACCCGAACATTTCCCGCGTGCGGCTCCGGGTCTTTTGGCATTTGACATGGGCGCTGCTTAGTAAGCAACCCGACGCTACGGTTTATCGACGTTCCCCGGAAAAATAGATTCGCCGGATTCCCTTTGCGCCGCCTCCGCGCGCTGTGTACTGTCGGTACAATCGCAGAAGCTACCCCATCTTGCCTATACCTCCTAACGCCTTTTCGCCAGAGCATACGTCTATCAGCAGAAACACTGGGGATATCCAGCTGTATCTTTGTTGTTTGCGCCGTTCTTTCAGCTCTTTCTATCTTTCCGCTTCTAGTGGGTAGGACCCTGTCTCCAACATCAGGGAATCTGGAGGAGCAGAAGAACCACTACGATCCCAATCGAACCCACCTCTTACTCCCTTTTCTTCCACAATGGCTGATACCAACGGCGATCAACCTCCCCAGACAAACGGTCACTCCGGCTCGCCTCCCTCCCAGCCAACAGCCCCCGCGCAGCCAGCTCCAACCACACTTCCAGCCTCAAATCCCTCCGTACCTCTCACCTCCCTCCAAGACAATGGCCTGTCCAAACGTCCTCGTGACGCTCGATTGATCCATATGCTTCTCTCCTCCCTTGGCGTCACAGCCTACCAAGAACGAGTTCCGCTCCAACTGCTTGACTTCGCCTATAGACACTCCTCTTCTATCCTCTCCGACGCCCTCCACCTCTCGTCGGATGCTTACGTGTCGCAACAGACACGTGCGCGAGACGCGCCTCCCGGCGGAAGCTTTCGAGATGCAGATGGGCAGGTTAGCGTGAATGCTGTACAATTAGCAATTCAAAGTCGGCTGCAATATCAGTTTGGTGGGGGCAATGGTGGTGGACTGAGCAAAGAGTTCCTTCTTGAGACTGCGCATGCGAGGAATAAGGTTGCGCTTCCGAGGGTACTGCAGAATGAGTGGGGTGTGAGACTTCCAAGTGAGAGATTTGTCTTGACTGGGGTCCCGTGGGGGCTGAAGGAAGAGTGGGAGACGGAGAATGAAGAAGAAACTGGAGATGGAATGGAAGGTGTGGAGACTACAGAAGACCAAGGTGCTGAGGGTGGCGAGGAGGGTGGGACGATGGATGATATCTTCGGAGGGGATATCGATCAAGATATGGAACGAGAGGAATGATTGTGGTCTGTGTAATCGTATCTGGCGTTGGTGGCGATCATCGGAGTCTGGGATATCGGGGGACATCGAGCAAGGATGAGGAATTGGGTGGACTTGCCAAAAGTTAGCCACGGCTTCATCATATAGACAAACTAATTGGGCATTTGTCCAAGGCTCCCTTTGGGAAGTTCTGGTCCGCATTTAAGTCATCCATAGCTGTGAGGCGTTGGTATTTCTACTTTCTTTCGATTCCATTCTCCAGTACATTTTCAACCACTATCTCGATTCTGTCTTTGAAGCAAGTGCCTTCTATCGCCGTCATATCTTCTATAGCATTTAGTTAGAAGAGCCTCATCAGCAGCGTCAAGCAAGTGGGACCGAAGTAATTCAAGTTGTTGAATTCTTCATACTCGTCAACCCAGTTTCCGTTGTTGAACTAGGATTTCTTCCTCGGCTCGAGACGCCATGTCCTTGGGTCAATGTCGTCTATCTTGGGATTTCTGAGACTTCAAAACGGCTTTTGCAAATGGTGTCTTATTCGTTGGTCATCATAGCCCATTTGACGAAGCAAAGGTACTGTCCCGCACGTATACTATGCAAATATGTACAAGTAGAATGTATGATTCTCCCATTTTCCTTGTCCTCTCCAGTTACAAATCAGCACTCGTATGCATGTGCTCAATGATTGGCAGCCTGTTTAGCCAACTGGTGCCCTTCCCTGCAATCCCTATGTGGTCTTATCCTTGCTTCAACGCTTCTTGTCTTCATCCTCTATCTTCACCTTCTTGGTGTCTTCATCCGGGGTATTCTACGATCTCTGTCAGCAATCCACATCTCCCCAGAATCAATACCACCTAGTAGTTCTTGCACGTACATCGAGCATCTTTAGCTTCTCAAGGGCCACGAGCAGTCGCTTTTCGTCTCCTCGAGCGTTCTCCCTGTATGCCTCATACGCATCTCTCTCTATCTTGTTCAAGTGCGCCGTATACCTTTCCTTCCGCGCCTTGAGAAGGTCCTGGTATCTCCATAGCTCGCTGTATGCAAATATATTAAGGTCATACTTGAGCTGATTGAGCCCGCCCTGAGCCGCCGGGATACCTTGCGAAGTCGCATGCGTGATCCGGGCATGCAACCCAGTTGCTACCCTCTGAATCCAGGTGGATGCTTGTTCCTCGAAGTATTCGCGCTCTTCAACGAGATAGACCTGGACACGGTTCTTATGGCGTCGAACAAAGTCATCCTCACTCTGCCTGATGTCCACAAGCTGCTTACGGATATCTTCGATGATGCCAACGAGGGCTGGATTTTTGAAGGTTCCCAACAAAGCATCGATGGCCTCCCGACCAGTGGAAGGCTGCGCCATCCTTGTCTGGATAGCTCGGCAAAATATTTGGTGGTGGTCTGAGGTCCTTTATGCTGCTGTGTGTATGTTGTGTTTGGAGGAAGATAGCTGTCCCCTTTTGTACTGTGGAGGTGGTGAGTTGTGATCTAAGAAATAGACCGTGGTACTATTCTTCGTGAACTACTGGGGCTGGTTGATTCGAGATGTTGTTCGATGTGCTTTGAAGAGGCCGAAGCTTGTGCATCTGATGGGACAGCGAACCAGACCTTTCGTTCTGGAAACATCTGCCTTATATCAAGTAGAATTTCCTTGTTCATCTTATCTCATTATACTAACCATTCAAACTCATTACGTTAATTAAAGCATATAGTCCAACTTGACTACCTCTGAATATCAGTATCATCAATAGGGTTTCATGCTGTGATGGGATTTAGAACAATCGACATCTAACAAACAAGCCTGTCTCAAGCTAGACATGAGACTCAAGCCTTTGTTTATCAAGCAAATCTCCTGAATGACAGGTATTAGCCCTCTTAGTGCACCTACTGCAAGAAACATCCAGATTAAGTAGAGATACCACCACCATGTTCTATCAGATATCTATATGAATGTACCTATATGTACCACCAACTCCAATAGTTAAATAGAAAAGGGGTTTCCACTCAATGCCCATTCTTGCTATATATTTCTCTACCTTTTCCTGATCTTGATACACGTCCATTCAACACTGCAGTCCCATAAAAATCAAAAGAACAAGAAGACGATGGGCGTTCAACAGCTGGTCACGTGCTTCAGGGGATGAAAGGATGAAACGGGAGTATACAAGCGGATTGTGAGAGCTCGTGGGGGGAACAAGAACGAGGTCACCATGAATACGATGCAGTTTATGACCAAGTTCATTTTTGAAGCAGCGTATAGCTATGTCTACGTTGGATATTGGACCTATGCCCGGCTTGCAGCGGCGTCAAATAGGAGTGAGGGAGAGGAGAAGAAGTTAAAGGCTAGGCACAATGACTATAGGAACCGCAAGAATGGGGTATAGCTGTTCATGAGAAATAATTCACTTACTCTCATGGATATTTCGCATTTGTAGGGAATATAGGTGGTCAGAAGCTGGTACTCTATACCTACCTTACCAATGTAGGTAGGCAGTGCCGTCTCAACGTTCTAAGCTGAGGCGGCCAGATAGAAGGGTAATCAAAACCTTCGCATAATGATAGTTGATCTTTGCCGTGTGTGCGGATGTGTGTATAAAAAGGAAACATACATACTCATCAGAGCAGTTGAAACAGAATATTCACTCGACCTATTGAAAGGAAGAAGGGCATAAAACAGAACAATACCTCAGGTATCCGTACGCGACCAGGATCTAACTAACGCGGAGTTCCTTTTTCGGTTAGCGTGACTTGAGCCTCACCTCGCTCACCTTCGCGCTTTTCAAACCAGCGGCGTCCAGCACAACTCATCGACCCTCAACTCCTCCAACACACAGGAATCGCGCGTTGTGCATCGTGCATTCCTCTTCGCAGTTCTTTCTTTGGAGAAAGACGTCCTACAACTTCTCTTTGCCATCATCGTCGCGCCACTGGATCTTCCACGGTCAGAAAACTGAGGTTACCAACAGGCCTTGCGCCTTTGGCTGCCTTCAGCAGCATCGCGACAACATCAGTCTTCTCCCATCGTATCCCATAGAGCTGCCTCGTCAGTAATATCGGCTTCGATATCTGACAAGCTTTCGAGCCGACCTGCAGATACGGTTGCGCCTCCGAGGACGCCTTTGTCCTAATCCCTCGTTCGCCACACCACTTCGGTTCGAAACAACCGGCCTTCATCATGGCGAATCTCAACTTTGCGCATTCAGATGCGCCTCTGCGCACGATCCAGGAGATACAGTTCGGTCTGCTGTCCCCAGAGGAAATCAAGAACATGAGTGTTTGCCATGTTCTCTATCCTGAGACCATGGACGACAGTAAGACGAAGCCTCGAGAGCAAGGGCTCAACGATCCTCGACTCGGATCCATCGACCGACAGTACAAGTGTGCTACCTGCGATCAGAATATGTCAGAATGCCCTGGTCACTTTGGACATATTGAGTTGGCAAAGCCTGTTTATCATCCTGGGTTTATCAAAAAGATCAAGAAGCTGCTGGAGATGGTCTGCCACAATTGTGGCAGAGTGTTACTAGACAGAGTCAGTTTGCCCGCATAGCGTGGTAGATCTTCTTGTGCCCTTGTGCTAACATCACAAACTCAGAGTAACCCACAGTACAAAGCAGCCGTTGCTATTCGAGATCCGAAGCGCAGATTCGATACAATCTGGCGACTTTGCAAGCCGAAGATGATCTGTGACAGCGATGTGAATGTGAACGAGGATGAGTTCAATGGCGACCCGAAGGAGGCTGCGAAACGATCTCATGGAGGTTGCGGAAATACCCAGCCAGAAGTGCGCCAAGTTGCTTTGCAGCTCTGGGGAACGTGGAAAGTCCCAAAAGATGAAGATGGTGAGGGTGTGCAGGCCGAAAAGAAACAAATCACTCCAGAGATGGCACTACAAGTCTTCCGAAACATCTCTACGTCTGAGATTTATGATCTCGGCTTGAGCAACGACTATGCTAGGCCAGAGTGGATGATTATCACGGTCCTCCCAGTTCCACCTCCGCCTGTTCGCCCGAGTATCTCCATGGATGGAACTGGCCAGGGTATGCGAGGAGAGGACGATTTAACATACAAGCTGGGTGATATTATCCGAGCAAATGGTAATGTCCGCCAGGCCCAGCAGGAAGGTTCTCCGCAGCACATTCTCCAAGACTTCGAGGCTCTACTCCAGTACCACGTTGCTACATACATGGATAACGATATTGCTGGCCAGCCACAAGCTCTGCAGAAGTCGGGAAGACCTGTGAAGTCGATCCGAGCCCGTCTAAAGGGTAAGGAGGGCCGACTTCGTGGTAACCTGATGGGGAAGCGTGTTGATTTCTCTGCACGTACTGTCATTACTGGTGACCCGAACTTGTCTTTGGACGAAGTTGGTGTCCCAAGGAGTATTGCCAGAACCCTCACTTACCCCGAGACGGTCACACCGTATAACATCAGTAAGTTGCACCAGCTGGTCCAGAACGGACCGAACGAGCACCCGGGAGCCAAGTACGTCATCCGCTCTGATGGAACTCGTATCGATCTTCGACATCACAAGCGCGCAGGCGCAATCTCATTGGAATATGGCTGGAAGGTTGAGAGACATATCATTGATGGTGATTTTATCATCTTCAATCGTCAACCCTCGTTGCACAAGGAGTCTATGATGGGTCACAGAGTTCGAGTAATGCCTTACTCGACTTTCCGACTCAACTTGTCTGTAACCTCACCATATAACGCTGATTTCGATGGCGATGAAATGAACCTGCACGTCCCTCAGACCGAGGAGACTCGGGCTGAGATTATGCAGCTCTGCATGGTTCCTCTCAATATTGTCTCTCCTCAACGCAACGGTCCTCTGATGGGTATTGTTCAAGATACTCTGGCTGGTGTTTATAAGATGTGCCGACGCGATGTCTTCTTGACGAAGGAACAGGTCATGAACATCCTGCTCTGGGTACCTGAATGGGACGGGGTGATCCCACAACCGGCGATCATCAAGCCTCGCCCGAGATGGACAGGAAAGCAGCTCATCAGCATGGTTATACCCAAGATTGTGAACCTTCACGTGCCCAGCGAATCACGCGAAGATGCTCCATTGAAGGACGACGGTCTTCTGGTACATGGCGGAGAACTCATGTTTGGTCTTCTGACAAAGAAGAATGTCGGAGCTACTGGAGGTGGAATTATCCACATTATCTTCAATGAGCAAGGCCCGGACGCCGCTATGGCCTTCTTCAATGGTTGCCAGCGAGTTGTCAATTACTGGCTACTCCATAATGGCTTCAGTATTGGTATTGGTGATACGATCCCAGACAAAAATACCATCGAGAAAATTGAAGAGGCTATTTTGGAGCAGAAGAATGAGGTCGCTAAACTCACTGCTATGGCTACTGCTAACGAGCTCGAATCTCTCCCCGGTATGAACGTTCGTGAGACCTTTGAGAGTCAAGTCTCCAAAGCTTTGAACACCGCCCGTGATAAGGCTGGTACAAGGACCGAGGCCAGTTTGAAGGACATCAACAATGCCGTACAAATGGCTCGGTCTGGTTCCAAGGGGTCTACTATCAACATCTCGCAGATGACTGCCCTTGTGGGTCAACAGTCAGTAGAGGGCAAACGTATCCCCTTCGGATTCAAGTATCGAACTCTCCCACATTTCACCAAAGACGATTACTCCCCGGAGTCGCGTGGTTTTGTTGAGAACTCGTATCTTAGAGGCTTAACACCAACCGAATTCTTCTTCCACGCGATGGCTGGTCGTGAGGGTCTCATCGACACAGCTGTTAAGACCGCCGAGACTGGATACATCCAGCGACGTCTTGTCAAGGCGCTTGAAGATGTCATGGCTAAGTATGATGGCACAGTGAGAAACTCTCTGGGCGACATCGTTCAATTTGTTTATGGCGAAGATGGCCTCGATGGTGTTCACATTGAGAAGCAGCGCGTCGATCACATCAACATGTCTGACAAAGATTTTGCCAAACGCTATCGTCTTGATGTCATGGACGAGCGGAACCCGATTTCCCCTGATCTTCTAGAACATGCAAACGAGCTTGCTGGCGATCTTACAGTTCAACAATTGCTGGACGAAGAATGGGAACAACTGAAGGCTGATCGCAAGATGTTGCGTGATGTCAACTTCAAGAAGAAGGACGAAGAGATGATGCAACTTCCCATGAACGTCGTCCGAATCATTGATAGTGCTAGAAGACTCTTCAAGGTAGACGAGTCTCAACGAAGTGATTTGCACCCTGCAGAGGTTATTCCACAGGTGCGGCAGCTGCTGGACCGCATGGTTATCGTTCGCGGTGACGATGAGTTATCCAAGGAAGCTCAGCTCAACGCAACGCTGCTGATCAAAGCTCAATTGCGTTCACGTCTTGCTTTCAAACGTGTTGCTTTACAAATGCGGCTTAACAAGCTGGCATTTGCCCACGTCCTTGGAGAACTCGAGAACCGCTTTACGAGAGCTCTCGTCAACCCTGGAGAGATGGTCGGAGTCCTCGCTGCGCAGTCTATTGGAGAACCCGCCACGCAAATGACACTTAATACCTTCCATTTTGCTGGTGTCTCTTCCAAGAACGTCACCCTAGGTGTTCCTCGTCTCAAGGAAATTCTTAACGTCGCCACCAATATCAAGACACCCTCCATGGTCGTTTACCAAGAGGGTGGTGACGCGAGCCAGGCGTCCGCAAAGCAGTTGCGTAGCGCCGTCGAGCACACCAATTTGCGCTCAGTTACCTTCTCTACGGAGATCTACCACGATCCAGACATCATGGCTACTAATATTCCTCAAGATCTTGATATGGTGGAATCCTACTTTATCATCCCTGAGGAGAGCCACGACTCACCGGAAAATCAATCTAGATGGCTTCTTCGTCTTACTCTCGACCGCCAAAAGATGTTGGATAAGGGCTTGAAGGTTGATGATGTTGCAATGAAGATCAAGGAGAACTATCCCAAAGATCTTGCTGTCATCTTCAGTGATAACAACGCGGAGGAGCAAGTCATTCGTATCCGAATGATCAAGCAGAACGACTCCAAATACGAGGATGACGAGATCGAGGAGGATATTATGTTGAAGAGACTCGAGGCCCACATTCTCGATACCCTGACTCTACGCGGTGTCCCGGGCATCGAGCGAGCATTCTTAAACAAGGAGACTAAGCTCATCGAGACTCCTGAGGGATCACTTCTGGCAGACAAGAACGATCCTCGCTGCGAAGAGTGGTACCTTGATACCAGTGGAACTGCTCTGGCTCAAGTATTGACGGTTCCTGGTGTGGACACGACACGCACATACTCCAATCACTTCATCCAGGTCTTTGAGGTTTTCGGTATCGAGGCTACTCGATCAGCATTGATGCGTGAGCTGACTCAGGTGTTGGCTTTCGATGGATCTTATGTTAACCATCGCCATCTCGCTCTGCTTGTTGACGTTATGACCTCTCGCGGCCATTTGATGGCGATTACTCGTCATGGCATCAACCGTGCTGATACTGGAGCTTTGATGAGATGTTCTTTCGAGGAAACCGTCGAAATTCTTCTCGAGGCTGCCGCTGTTGGTGAACTCGATGATTGTCGTGGTATCTCCGAGAACGTCATGCTTGGCCAGCTGGCTCCTATGGGTACTGGTGAACTCGAGGTCCTTTTGGATCCAAAGATGCTCGAGACCGTTATCTCTGATAATGGTAGAATGAACCTCATGCCTGGCCTAGCTGTCAAGGGCGCTGATGGCGGTGCTGCAACTCCTTATGACAGTGGCTCTCCTTTGGCCGAGGGAGGATTCCTTGGTACTCCCGATTATGAAGCATCTTTCTCCCCAATTATCACTGGTGGTACAGCTGAACCCACTGGGTTTGCCACAGAGTATGGCAGCACGATTGGTGGAGGCTTTGGTGGAATGAGTCCTTACTCGGGAGCCAAATCCCCAAGTGGGGCTGGCTACTCTCCATCCAGTCCTTTCAGCTCGTCGCCGGTTTCTCCAGGTTTCTCACCCACATCACCTGGCTATAGCCCGTAAGTTCTACCTGTTTGATCTCACTGGGATTTTACTAATATCAATAGGACATCCCCAATGATGGGTGCTACGAGCCCTGGCTATGCTGTATCTCCGAGATTCTCTCCTGTATCGCCTGCATTTACGCCAACGTAAGTAACCAAACCCAATTCTGTAAATTGAAGTGCTAACATCTATATAGGTCTCCTGCATACAGGTATTTATTACTTATCAATCATATTATTTCTGCTGCTAACATAGGCCTAGCCCTACTTCTCCGTCATTCGTTTCACCAACAAGGTTCGTATTCCCCCAGCAAGGAGCTTGTCTCCAGACAACTCCTTTTCAGAAGAAAGTTGCTAACTTACAAGCAGTCCATCATACTCTCCAACGCAAGTTTTCCTTCCCCCAAATTACATCTATTGCTAACTTTTGTCAACAGGAGCCCCAACTATTCGTATGATCTTCTGCACCCGCCCTCTTTCTCTCTTGGTATTTTTGCTAACTTCCTCCAAGTCCAACGTCTCCGAACCTGCATGGTTCACCTACTTCACCGTTAGTCTCCCCCCTCCTGAATACTGTGATTATTGCTAACTCTTCCTAGGTCGTACAGTCCAACGTAAATATCATTCCTATCCCGGACCATCAATAATGTCCAATTGCTAACTATCAATAGATCTCCTTCGTACTCACCAACTAGTCCGAACTATAGGTATGTCATTTATCGTACACGTCTTTTCCATCTGCTAACTGCGAAAAGTCCTACGAGTCCAAACTTTACCGGTACCAAGACATCACCTGGTTCAGGATTATCTCCAACGGTTTGTAACTCGATCCTAATCCAAGAACATGTCTGACATCCAACAGAGCCCTGTCTATAGCCCTAGTTCTCCTAACTGGAGGTATGTATTCCCAATGAGAATTAGAGCCAAGGCGTCATCTTCATATGTAATCGTGAATCTGACATTCCTTTCAGTCCTACCAGTCCACAACACCAAGGTGCTGTTACTTCTCCCAAGTATTCACCAACATCACCATCATAGTGAGTCAAACAGTGCATCCTGCTCTACATGTTCATATCTAACTAATATGACGCAGCTCGCCAACCAGCCCTCAATTCTCTCCGACGTAGATATCTCCAATCCCTTTCATTTTAGGGCTACGCTGACGGTCTTCAGATCTCCTCGTTGAAATTGAGAATCGGTCTTACCCTCTAATGTATCAACAACGTCTAAAAAAGATTCTGCATCAGGGTTTCATGGAGTTTTCGGATCTGTCCATTAGCATTTGGTTTCACTGGCGTCTGGGGGAAGCATTATGCCGTCAATTAAAAGGGAGGAAGCTGCGTTGTCTTCATATTTTTGTTTTACAGCCAACCCAAAATTGTACTAGGGCTGAGTTTTCGAGAGAAGTGTTTTGCGCACAGCATACGGAATTGACGATGAAGACGCAGGGGAAGATTCTCATAGATGTGTATAATCAAGATGCATTTATGAACAGCTGCAGTCCCGTGGAGTGATGTGATAAGTCTTTTGAACTTCCTTGCTACTTTGCCCGTTTTAAACCCCTGTATCCATCCCCAACTCCCAGACGCCGTCTTAGCCTTGACAGCTTGCAGGCCCTTCGAGCCTAGAATCAGAAGTTCATCATCAAAGTGCCCCCTGTTCGCTTTCCCACCTAACCTTATATACTGAACATATTGCCTTACTATCTAATAATTCTCCGGCTGTTTGTTTAGGTATCTTTTCATCTTACCAACTTGTATCTTGTTTCCCTGCAACATAACACATCATCGCCTGAATGATTCAAATCGACTACCACGGCGCTTGATAGACCCAAGGTAATAAAATGGATTTATCAGGTCTTCTAGATAGATGGGATTATTAAGAGGAGTTGTAGGTAGGGTTTAGATAAAAGAAGTACCTTAGACGTTTCTGGTCAGAGGAGTGGATATTCTTCTGGATGCAAGCCTATATATCACGTGAACAATGGTGATATCAAACCCAGGGCAGTCTTGTCTCATGTCTAGCCAGTTTTGAATACCTATATAAAAGGACACTTTACTTACACTTTCCGACCTTAGTTCTATAGGCATCTATATCTCTACTACACATACGACGCCCTCACAAAAAATTCAACACGATAGGAAAATTTTTATGAAGAGGATCTCTATGTGTACAAAACAAGCTGCCCGAGAAAACACATGATACACGACGAGGAAAGTCAACCACTCCACCCGTCGACTCCCCTACGCATTCCTCGACATATCGTTGCGAATTCTGTTATAGTCGAGGAGGCCGTCGATTGAGCCAACGGCGCTGATAACGATATCCTGATCCCATAGCTTTCGTTGAGCAAAGCTCATTACATCCTTCTCAGTGATAGCATTGACAACACGCTCGATCTCCTCTGGACCCATGCGTCGGCCGGTGGTGATGATCTGTCGTCCGATGTCCTCGGCCACGGCGGTGGTACCGTCGAGAGAAAGGAGAATAGATGCCTTCAGTTGAGCCTTGGCACGCTCGACTTCGGCCTCGGTGACATTGTATGATAAGCGAGACCATTCGCGGAGGGTGAAGTGGACGAGATCATCAATGCGAGTGAGCTTGTCGCTGACGAGGTAGATACCCCAGAGACTATTAACGTTAGCTTTGCATAGTAGAGCGTTGAATAATACCTACCCAGTGTCACTGTAGCTGGTTGAGAAGCTCATGAAGCTGTTGGCGAGGTCGTTCTTGTGGACGAATCCACTGAGCTTGCTACCAACGTGAGGAGCGTTGCCCATAGCCTTGTCCCAGTTACCAACAATAGCTTGAGTAACCAGAGCAGTGAAGTAGTCGTCATCCTTCCAGCTGACACCCTCCACGGCAATAGCAATGTTGGCAGTAGGGATGGTATCATCACGGATTCGAATCTCCGAGCCGATGAAGTCGGGCTTCCGCTTCTGGGCCGCAGCGACGGCAGAGGCAGCGCTGGTAGGTGGTTGCGTTGGGAGGCCAGAGAAGTGCTTCTCAGCAAGCTCAACGAGCTGCTCGTGGGGAACGCCACCCGCACCGACCAAGACCATTCGATCGGCAGTGTAGTTGGTCTTGATGTAGTTGACCAGGTCGTCTCTTTGGATGCTCTGGATGTTCTCGGCAGGACCCAGGATTGTACGTCCCAGAGGTTGTCCTTGGAAAGCGGTCGCATGAAGATGGTCGAACACAACCTCCTCCAGTTGCTTGTCAACCTCTTCGGATTCTCTCAGGATCACGTCACGCTCGCGCTCGATCGCTTGGGTCTCGAGTTTCGAGTTTTGGAGGATATCGGAGAGGATGTTGACAGTCGCCGGAACATCAGAGTTGAAGGCCTTGGCGTAGTACACGGTGTTCTCACGCTGTCGATGGATCAGTAGAGGTTCCATTGTCCCGGAGCATCATCACTTACTGATGTGTAAGCATTCAGGTGGCCACCCATGTTCTCGATCTCGAGCTCTAATTGATGTTGCGTTCGGTTGGTGGTGCCCTGGTACCGCTGTCAGCTGCTAATGCGATGTCCTCGAGCTCAATTGACGCATACCTTGAAGGCAAGATGCTCCAGGAAGTGAGCTGTGCCGTTGGTTCTGTCCGTTTCCGCGCGAGACCCAGCATCAATCCAAACACCAACCGTCGACGTCTGCGCCCAGGGCGAGTGCTCAGTAGCAACCTGTGGCAAGTCAGCAGCCATGCTTTTGCCCTGTCGCAGCATTCAGGCTTACCGTCAAGCCATTGGAAAGCGTTGTTGATTCCGTCTTCACGCCATTTTTCACCACAGGGGTCGCAAAGCCTCTCTTCAGAGGAGCGACGGCATTCAGACCGCGGCCACGCAGCCCCTGGGAGAGGTTCAAAGCTAATCGCCGGGACGCCATGGGGGGAGATGTGATGGGGAGGAGATGGGGCGGTTTTAGAGGTGACTTGAAGTCAAGATCGTGACATTGGAATTGGGATGCCGGTTGTTCCCTTCAGATTTATCGAGGCTAGCTCTCGACCAATCAGCGCTCTCCCGATTACTTTAGGTAAGCCAACGGCTAGCCGAGGAATTGCTTCCGGGAATCAGCGACGACATTCAGATGCTCCTTTGGTCATGATCAATTGTTGAAGAACATCTCAGCTGCTCCAGAACCTTTTGCTCACGATGGCTTCATTTGTTCGCCCAGCACTGCTCAGGCAGACCGGCCTGGCCTCTGCCTCCACGCGCGCCTTTTCGACAAAGCTCGCCGCCGGCGTCTCCCACAGCAAGCCAGCCGCTTCCGTCCTCTCCAGACAGGCAGTGCGCAGTGCCTTTGCCAAAGATGCTCTGCCCAGCTCAATGCGAGTGGCAGCGTTCCACGCAGGTGGCCGCCAGCAGATTCTTCCTCCACTGCCTCGTAAGCTTGACACTTCTCGCCCCCGCGCCGGAATCCAATTGCTAACTATCTCGCAGAGTCCATTCACGGCACTGGTATGCATTCTTGCCTCTGACACGTCAAGCTCCTTCTAACTTTCTGTAGTCAACGACGCAGCTCCAGTCCCACCGTCAGACCCATCCCACGGCTCCTACCACTGGACATTCGAGCGTCTCATCTCTGCCTCTCTCATTCCCTTGACGATCGCCCCCTTCGCATCAGGATCATTGAACCCCATGACTGACGCTATCCTCTGCGGAGCGATCCTCATCCACTCACATATTGGTTTCGAGGCCCTCGTCATCGACTACATCCCGTCCAAGCGATTGCCCAAGATAAGATTGCTCTTCTGGTGGGGACTCCGAGCTGCGACAGTGTTGGTTGGCGTCGGATTGTACGAGTTCGAGACGAACGATGTTGGCGTCACAGAGGCTATCAAGAGGATCTGGACTGCTTAGGGCTCTATGAAGGAGATTGTATTTATTTTTGGTCCAAGAATCGGTGCAGTACATAAAAAGGAAAATGCCGGGGTAGTGTCTCGAGCTATTCCCCGTGCAGATTGTATGTGCTCTTGATGTAGTAAATAGATGGGAATGGTTCTATGTGATTTTCGTTCCTCGAAGTAACATCATCTTCGCCCCTTTGTGTGAACTTCTATGGTCTGTAGTATTCAATACATGCTATTCCATCCTGTCAACCCAGGAAGGCTTGTAAGCCGCAAAGTCCCGAGCTCAACAAGACCATCCTTTTCACATTGAAGTTCAACCGTTATAAGTCCGACTATCACAACATTTTACATGCCGTATATACATTTCAAACCTCTCCATTCCTATCTACATCTTCTTAACGATCAAGATCATAGTTTTCAAAGACCTAGCTTTCTTCCTCTCTCTAGAGTAAATCTTGTGTGTTTGTTTACAGGATGACGCCGATAAACGACTCGTTCGTTAGACGGATATAATCACTTACTTACCTTACCTTACCTTCTACTACAAAACGCATCAAATCCCTACAATCCCGATTTCAAACTTGATGAGAAGTTTCAAACCTACTTTATTACATGTTATAAGTATGGAAACTCGAGGATATTCGAGATTATCCATCAATCAATCCTTTGGTTCGTTCGTTCATCAGCTTTTCATGACACAACGCAGCTAATACCTCTCGAAATATCACTCATGAATGAATGAATGATCCTGTCATCAAGTAAAAGTAGGGGATGCTATTCAGAGGTATGTATCAAGATACCGCCGTGGAATATCAGGGAATGCGTTATGGCGAGGATACAATCAATCAATTATCTGATGGATTATAGTGAGGTCATGGTTGCGTAGGTAGGTAGTTGGTGATGGGACATATTGAATTCTCCATCTACTCTTTGGGGTAGAGAGATTATAGATAGATACAGGATGGGAAAAGGAGGACGCATTCCCATGGGTTCTTGTATGTTCTAATGGTATTCATAGATGGTCATGGCTTGGACGAATGAGAGCTGGTTGGTAGTTGCCACAACGACGCGAAGGGGTATTGTTGGCAGATGTGAAGAGTGAGAATGGAAAGAATAATGCTGCCCGGATTTATACTATTTATGAAATGAAAAGTCTTCCTATTATGTACGGTACAAAGCGGGGTCGGCCTTGGACAATGGAAAGTCAGTAGATAGGTTCACATGCAATACCCCACGGTGGAGATTCGAATGATTCCAATATCAGCATATTTGGTAGAGCGAGTTCACTCGGATCTCATTTTCGTGCTTGGCGTTGGAAATAGCTCACAGTGGAAGGCTCGCTTGGGGGAATATTTTGTCACACGCCTGATCACATAACTCGGTGTTTGAGTTCAAAAATGGAAGCAATTGGACTTAGCCATTGGACTCCGCATTAGCGGCGGGGTGGCCTTTCTTATTCATGGATACCTACACGAATACTACTAAATACCCGGGAAGCCAAGGATATGTACTGCATGTCGTGATTGGGAGGATGGTCGTTGCCATAGGGCTTAGTGCTTAGTGCTTAGTGCTTACTGAAAAGAGATATCAGCACAACTGCAGTGTGTTTGGAGCATCAAAACCAACCTTTTATAGATTCGAAATCTTCAAGACAGCCTTTCCGAAGTTCTTGCCTTGCAACATACCGACGAATCCCTCCGGCCCATTGTCGATACCATCGGTGACGCTCATCTTCGCTTTGATACTGCCCTCATGGAGCCACTTGCTGACATTCTCATCCCGCTCTTTCTCGTACACCGGGCCCATGTTCTTATCGTATACAATGAAACCCTTCATTGTTAACCGCTTTGATACAATCAACCAGATGTTCTTGATGCCGTATTTCTCCTCATCGGGCCTGTTGTATTCGCTGATCATTCCACAAGCCACGATTCTTCCAAAGTCGTTCAGAGCATACAGTGCGGCCTCGAGATGCTCGCCGCCTACATTTTCGTAGTAAATATCGATTCCATTTGGTGCCAGGCGAGTCAGGGCATCCAACGGCTTCTCTTTCTTGTAGTTGAAACCCCCGTCGAATTTCAGTTCATTGAGGATGAAGTCTAACTTGTCGTCAGAGCCAACGGACCCAATAACACGAAGCCCCTCGCGCTTTGCAAGCTGGCCAACTAATTGACCAACGGCCCCTGAAGCGGCCGAGATGAAAATGGTCTCTCCCTTGACAGGCTTGCCAATTTCGTACAACGAGGAGTACGCGGTCAATCCGGGCATTCCCAATGCCCCAGTCCAAACCATGGGGTCAAGGTTGTATGGGTTCTCTATCTTCTTGAATGAGTCCGCCTGCTCCTTGGAAATAGCCGAATATTCTTCACATGGGATGCCTCCGTGTACGAGATCTCCTGGCTTGAACTTTGGGTTGTCCGACTTGAGGACCTTGGCAACAGTACCGCAGTCAATGGGCTTGCCCAGCGTGAAGGCAGGAACGTAAGATTTGATGTGCGCTTCACGCATGCGGCCTCGTTGATAAGGATCGAAGGAAGCGTAGATGTTCTTGGTCGTTAACCCACCAGCCGGCGGTGCTTGCTCGACGTCGAACTGTCGGGTCTCGACGGCCAGGTGCTCCCCCGGCACCGGCAGTCCGGTTGGGATTTTCTTGAAGAAGATACCCTTGTTCTGAACCATTGTCGCGGTGTTATGTATGTTACTTAAGGATTGGGCTGTGAGTGTGCGGTTTGAAGGGAGTCCTGCGGAGTGTAGAACAAAGAAAAGCAGCAAATACCTGGTTATATATCATAAGACATACCTGCCCCGCCGTACCTATGGAGGGGAATAGGTAGCCGAGACCAATAAGGAGAGCTTACATATCATATCGTCGAGTAGTCGGCATCGAAATTTCGAGCAAGATAATGCCCATGCCCTGCCCATGACGGAACACTGTTAAAGCGCCAGTCCACCGCCCACCACTACGCGCCGCCGCTCATGATTACAAAACAACGTCTGCCGGTTTCTGCGCAAGCGACATGCCACATGTCATGCACAATCATTAGACATGATTGATATATGAGGCACGGGCACGTTGTGTATGGTACGGTATATATGGCATGGGCCTATGGCGCTCTTCTTCGCAGTTCGCCCCCGATCCATCTATCTCTGCGTATCTCCGAAAGATCTGCGGACATAGAGTGCGGACTCAGGAGAGACAGCCGTGAAATGCGAATGATGTATTTGTCAGGTGGATGCTGCGAAGGACCGAAGGTGAAAAATGGATACCGTTACGTAGCCTTTTTGAGCTTTGCAATCAGCATGTTTACCAGCGAGTCTGCCACGGGCAACAAAATACCATGTTATTATTCATCAACCGAGTGCAGGAGTTGCCGCTGCTCTCGTTTCCGTTGCCTGGAGGACCGCAGCTCCATCAGCGAGCTAAACACTTGTTCGAGGAGGCTCTAGTCGAGTCGAGTCGAGTCGAGTCTATTGTCGACGACGGAGGTGTGGATCTAGTACTTGGAGGGGCTCATTGTGCGATTAGGATTCCATCCACGATATCAAAATACAAGTAACAGAGATCGGACGACAACATAAAGAGAAGAGTGAGTGAGGATCTTGTTTATATATTCGAGGCTGGTTCTTGTCGTGGCACTGAATGTCGTGTTGCGGCAAATCCAGCTGTATCGATCATGTGATTGTCAGCTCGCCTAAGACAACGACACAATATTCATAAGGTACTTGGTACCTTACTCTGTATGTATGTCAGCGTCTTGAAATTCTATTCAGGGTGTCTTTGGAAGATGTAGATTACTACATACAGATCTACTTAAAGTTAAGTATGCGTGCTTATACAAGTCACGTGCCTGCAACTTCCCTTAAAATATCCAAGGTTTGGCGGGGTTTATCACCATCAACTACCCCCTTACCCCCAATTATCAAGTTCAGCAGCCAAGTATTCTCCTAGTTGCAACGGCATACGCAACAATACTACTTGCACAAATGTCAGAGACTATCCTCTCCTAGCCCTTGGTTTTTATGGGCTCAAAAGATCATCCAAGTGCTGCAGCCTGCCGCATAAGACCCCCTGGTTTATTGCTCGCGGAGTCGCGGGTTTGTGCCTTCAGATGAGATACTCCTTGTATCAATTTCCAACATCTGTTTAATTTCTCCTTCTTTGGCTCGTCGTCTAAAGCTGTCGGCCTCCTCCGGAAGTCCGCTAATCATGTCCTTGCTGTCGCTGGGCTTCTCCAACCGTGGCCCAGGGGGCAGCAGCGCATCAACATTTCTAGTGCCTTGCCCAGACCCTACCCTTACGGGGATCAGAGCGGTTCATTTGTAGATGTTCAGTTTCTGGCTCGAGTCCCCTTTCTAGTGAAGGTCCTGCATCTAGCCGCTACGAACAATCTCATTGCTCTTCTCACACATCACGATGAACATGCACAGACCCGCCATTGTATCACTTCGAGCCACCACATGGGAGAACCGATAGGCGGAAGGCCGCGAGTGCTGCCGTGTTCTCCTGATCCATGGTGTTTCCTTAATATATCCTCAGCCATTCATTTGCGAAGGAGGGAATGGTCCCTTTTGGGCGGTCGTTGAGAATCGGACTCGACTAGAGGCTGATATGTATATCCTGCTGCCGCGGGGCTGCAATGCAACCTTTTTGAGAGCGTCAGGTCTAAGCTTCTTGCGAGGTGGACTACCGTATTCTTGACTCCTTGGGCGCAGCATGGAATGCATGCGCATCATCACTATCAGCGTAAGCAAGTCGCCGTGACACGCGTTGCCAAGCGCGCCATCCGCATTCCTGCTTCATACATACTCTTCTTCAAGTTACTGCCGTATTGGGCGATATTGGGTTTGTATTCAAGTATCCCACAGATTCGGCTTTGACCTCTCGGCTTACATCTAATATCGTACTATGGTATACCGAAAAGCTCGTGGTTTCAAGCCTATCAGACATGCGCAGGAGTTCACCAATCCATCCGGAAATATAGTCCTCATTATCCAGCTTCCATCTCCTCTGGATTACCGCATCAGTACATACATAGCTGATGCCTTACCCCCGTCATGTTGCTCCAAAAGACCGGCTGGCGCACCAAGCAATGGCTTCCTCATCGAAGAAGTGGCAATGACAGTTTGGAAGATACCGTCGATATTGTGGAGTCTCACCGCATAGACAATACATCGTCCACGCACTTTTCCAGAAGATTATCATGGTTATCACAAAATTCGCCAGCTACGCTAGCACAGCGAAGGGCTAGCAGTAGCTCATCGACGGAATATCCAGCACTACCGCAACCTACTTCAACTGCTCATTCGTCAGCGAGTTCTTTGTCCAGTTGCGACTGTGATGCGAATACGGCTTCAATTGATTCTTTGTCTAGACCCGAGTTGGCTCCAGCAGCCTCAGAGGTCCTTTGTCCCCCGAAATTATGCTCGACGACCACCTGCAGTGATGCCGGAACCTGGCGCCTCGTACTCTCAGAAACTCCTCTCTCGCGCTCACCAAATTTATGCTCGGTGAGTATCGATACGAAGGAATCTGTAGGGACCACGCTTTCTACTCAGGCGACTTTAGATATCCTAGAAGCCCTTTCAATCGATCCTCTTCGCAATGGTAGGACGCGCACACAAAACATTCAAAATACGGATGACTCAAATATGGATATATCTTCAGATAAAGTGGAACTACTGGTTCGAGGGACTGGCCAAGCACTCCAGGCTCGTGATATTTCCCCAGCTGATAGGAAGGCTGCGATCCAAGATGGCTTTGACAGAAATATCACTGCTCCAATATATCACACTCCTTCGATCCCTCATGATGTCTTGAGAAAGCAACCGAGCTTGCCAATCCCGAAGCCAGTCTCAGCGTCGAAGGGAAAGCGAAGGATATTTCGCCGGGGAAAGATACATTCGCTAGGACGAGAAGTGTCAGGCGCCATACTTCACCCATCTTCAGGTGTACTTGCGCGATGGACAGATCCTACGACTAATATGGCTGACATCTCCAGTGGGAAATTTTTCAAATCAGAAGTGGACGAGATGTTGACATCGGGTAGGATGCAACAGTTGAGGAAAGTCGCAACGTTTGAAAATGGTCCTAAAACACTAATGAGGTCCACACATAGCACTGAGATAGATGGAACGACCAGAACGGATCCATTTCCCTCACGCGGCTCCCCTTTTTGCATACGTGCACAAGCCCATCAACCTCCATTTCCGAGCCCTATCCTACCACCGCCAGCAATTCCTCCACTAGATATTCCTGGCAAAAGGTACAGAGATGGCAATGCGACGTTTTCCAACGTACCAGCCAGTGACACTAGGATGGTATTCAGAGACCTCGGCTTTCCCGCCCCAAAAAATAGACAAAACCATCGTCCACCTTCCCGTGGGGCTCCTTTTTTGCCAACCATCCCCGAAATCTCCCCACTGGTGCTTAGCCTACCACAAAGTAGCTCACCGCAAAGTGCCCTCGCTGATACCGATCCTGGTCTGTCACTGCCTACCGAGCCGGGGCTGGCACCTAGCTGTATAGCTCTCTCTTCAACACCATTCACTCTGACGTCTCCTCTATTTCGCCACGGGCCTATCCGCCTAGAGCAGAGAAAAAAGAAATCGTCTCTGGAAAAGGAAGCATTGGACTGGACAGCGTTCCAAATAGCTATTTTGGGAACAACAGATGAAGATCACGAGGGAAGTGACGAGGCTCAATTAGATGAGGCTGAGTTGGATGACATTACGCTATGGTTTTCTGATTTCGGATTCGGAGTGGGAAGACTGGTGAAGGAAAAGCCGAAGAGGAAACGGATCAAGGTATATCTGAAGGATGGAAACGCGCAGAAAAGGACATGGAGGGGAAGATTGGGAAAAGACATTGTAATAAAAGACGACTTGGAAGAAGTTCCTATCGAGGGCGTAAAAACGGATGGTGAGTCCGTAGAAAGCCTACCTTTAAGTCCGATGCTGGATCTAACTCCTTCATGTCTACATAAGGAAGTTATCCCGATGGGGTACAATCTCGGACATGATATAGAGGATTTCCTGAAATGGGAGGTGCAGCATGTGCAGCAGAGTCTGCTTTTGGAATCCGATTGAATTGGACTGTTTCTCAAAACATGCTGCCCGGTACTAGATGTGTATTAGGCACATTGTTGATTATGTAGTTACATGTCCGTATCTGTCTGTTCTATAAGTTTGTATTCTGTATTTGTACACTGTCCTTAATAAAGATTGATTGATTTAAGAGGTTGCAATAAGTTGTAAAGCCTAGCTGACGTTTTAGAATCTAACGTGTCACTTGGAATGATAGGTTAGTGGAAAAGAGGTACTTTGCCCATCTTGATTCACAAGATTTATTACTAACAGGAAGTAATAAAATTGCTTCTATCCGTTCGTCTCCTATATACGTTCTTAAACAAATATCTAGTCTTCAAACCCTGTAGTGTAGAATTCTAACCATGATCGTGTCTTCATGTATATATAGTAGTGAAGAGAGGTAGTAAAACGAAGAATGAAGCTGCAAGGGTACCTTAAGACCATGATGCATCCAAAGCCTCAGATCAAAAAGCATCAATCAGCACTCCTACCCTCCATCTTCCAGCTCTCAAAATCAAATCCGAGCTGCTCCAACGTCGTGATCTGAAGTCTATTCTTGCCCCAGGCTCTGGACGCGCTCTTGATACCGGGAATCCGTTCTCTGATCCACTGTTCCTTCGCGCCCCAGTACGGCGGGATCTTGCCGACGCCATCGTTCTCGAGCTTGGGATCCCGTGTCGCGGAGAGACTCCAGGCGTGTAGATCGTTGATGTATTGCGCGTCGGCTGGGAAGCCGAGGATGTGGAAGGATTTCCCGGCGCCGTGTTGCGCGATCCGGGATTTTTCCCAGGAGAGCATCTCGGAGGAGGAGGGGAGCGAGAGACGACCTGAGAGCACGCGCGCGATCACGGCGCCTTGGCTTTCGGAGATGGGGAATGGGACGATGCGTTGGGGGAGCGCGATGAAGGATAGGGTTGGGTTGGGACGCCAGAATATTTGGCGGTAGAGACCTTCTGTACGCTCACCGGTTGTGACGATGGGTGGCTTGAGGTGCTTGAGGAAGGGGAAGGAGTAGAGATAGCCGGTGCAGAAGACGACCTTGTCGACGTTCTTGAGGAGATGGCCATTGGTGAAGCGGACGGCGCGATCCTGGATGATGAATTCTGAGATTTCAGGTAGGATGGTGGTGGTAGGATCGCTGGTGGGTGTTAGTGGCCAGTCCGCTTTCACGGAGATGTAAAGGGGGAGTTCTGATGTTGTTGATATCTGGGCGGATATGTCAACTCCAGATGCGTTGTTGCCGACGACGACTACTTTCTGGGTTTCAATTAGCTTTCTGCTCCATGTGATACCGTAACACTGAAAACAGGAGAGGCTACCTTTGACTTATATTCCTCGGGTCTCCTGTAGAACTTGGAGTGAGTTATTGCTTTTGGATAAGCCGAATTCCACTCTCTGATACCTGCAATATCTGGTATGTACGGATCGTCGTAGTGTCCGTTGGCAACGACGACCCCGTCAAAAGTCGAATTCTTCTCCTCTTGAGTTTTGATATCTCTTGTCTTGACTGCCCACTTGCCACTATCAACAGGCTCCACGTCTATCACCTGGGTGCCCAGAGTGATGAGTGGTCGAATATCGTCGGCATAGCGTTCAAGATATTCCCTGACTGCAGTATGATGAGGAAACAAAGAGCTACCCTTAGGGAACGGGAAATCAGAATAGTTCATGATCGTATGTGGGATATTCGTATCCAAGTCATCATAAACCGGCGAGATGTATTTGACCGTAGGTCCTTCCGGGCCATGCTTCACTACTGGTTGAGTTGGCACTTGACTGGGCCTTGTTTTTGGAACCATCAGGTCCCGGTACATCCCATTCTCGTCTGTTCCCGGATTCCATACTCCGCCGACACTCTCTCGTTGCTCGAAGACTTGGATTTTGGAGAATGCCTTCTCCGCCACGAGATATCTAGGAATATTAGCTGTGGATCTACGAATAGGGACGAGGCGACGAGGGTGACAGCTCACTTGGCCGCAGCAAGCCCGCCAGGTCCAGCTCCAATGACTGCAACTCTTTTGATAGCAGTCCCAGAGCCAAGAGGCCCCATAGCGATTGGTATTGAATGTTAATTATATTTCTCCTAAACCAACCTTTTCTAGGCCTACTACCAAAAGCGGAAAAAAGACGTAACTATGCGATATGGATCATGACCGGGCAAATGGATGCCGATGTTGAAATACGATATAAACCCGAACTATGCACGGGCCCCAAGTCACGTGCTTCCCGAAGCTTTATCTGAGGTGTTTGCCACTGCTTTAATGTAACCAATAAGAGTGCCAGGGGTTTTGGCCAGATTAAAATCAAATCAATTTATCAAAGATTGGGACAGCGAGGATTCTCTAACTTAACTCTTACTATCGCAGTCACTATCAGACGACGGGGCTTTAAGGCCCGTGGGAGGCTCCCACTTGTGATATAAATTCTGGCGAGCATAGAAAGACTCTCCAGTAGTAAACGTAAACGATTCATTACAGCCATTCTCACCACCACAAGCAAATCAATCACTTTTCCTTTGGCCTACCTAAAGCCATTAATCGTTCGGTTGGCCAACTCTCACGCAATCGTCGGTTAATCAGCGTATGTATTGGGTGAGGGAGGGCAATACGCAAATCCGATCATATCCCGCCTGAGTCTTTTACTTCCCCTTTCATTACCTTAGGTACTTTGTATAGTAATCAAAAGACAGAAATTAGACTTATTTAAAAAGTTGTTGTCGAGATTATTAAAGACTTCTTACCTAGGTATCAAAAACAGTTCTTTAAGAAAAGCTAAGGGCATGACAATAAAACACGATTAGTGCCTTGTAAAAGTATATCTATCTATATACTCTCCTCTTATAGAGCTATCATTTGACCTTGAAATTATCTATATTAAGGTCAAAAGGAACTCTTCTGTTATCGTGATCTACCTATGATCGGATTTGCGTATTGCTGGTTTTTGCGTATTGCCCTCCCTCACCCAATACATACGCTGATTAACCGACGATTGCGTGAGAGTTGGCCAACCGAACGATTACACGAAATCTGGCGGTAACCTGGAAAAAACTAGTCGAGTCACGTGACCATTTATCAACCAACTCGCCAAAGCCCCTGAATCGGTACGCTCTTATTGGCTATAAATCAAAACAGCGGCAAACAGGGAGGTAGACAGCATGGTATGTTTAAACTTTTGGCCACAAGGGGAGAATTATCAAATTTTGAACCAATCATAATGTAGTAAATTATTTAAATCTAATCAATTATTCATCAAACCCAATCAAGTATCTAAAGATATGGGATTATTGCGCAACAACGCCTGTCTTCTCGCCGTCTATATCTTTACCCATTGGTGGGGTATCTGCGCCGTCATTACTACCCTCTTCTTTGCCTTCGATGTATGTAGCCTCGGGGCGGTGAAATTTGGACGGATGTTGTCCACGGATGTCGAGAATGATAGCTCGCATGGTCTCATACAGAGCCACTCGCCCTTCATACAGAGGGAAGAGACCCACGCAGAACAAGGACCCGAAGAGCCAGATAATACCAACGACCACCCATCCAGTGAAGAACGGCTTGGAGAATATATATCCCGTGCCGTACATAGGGAACGGCCAAAGGACGAGAAGAGCAAGAGCCATGAGGACAGTCATGGTCTTTGCGATCTTAGACGCGCGCGCGAGTGCCTTTTGCTCGGCTTCTTCTTCGGTGGCGGACACCGTCGCCTCTCCTGGAACGAGCTCGAGGTCAACATTCGCTGCGTCGGCCAAATCGTGATCGTCTGCCTTGCGGATTTCTTGCATCGAAACCCAATCGTACTTATCAACGCCGAAGATCAGGGTGAAGATCCCGATGTACATGATAGGGGAGAGGAGAGCCACGACATTGCCCGCCAACATAGGGTCGTTTGAGCCAGTACATGTAACATCAATGGTTCCGCAGGTCGTCTTGGCAGTAACAAGCCATGTAATAATGCCACTGGCAGTTCCAAGTGGCGGAGAAAGGGATGCTGCCCATTTATTCTGCCCAGACCACAAAAGTGAGAGGGAAGATGGGATAACGGCCGAAGACTAAATTTCCATCATTAGCAACTTTTCCGGACCCTTCTGAACAAGGGAAATAGACGTACGATTATAACCCCCATAAATAAGTACAACCACGAGATACCGATGCCACCGTAGTATAAACCCATGGAGAAACATGCCATGACCACGCTGAAGCAAACCACAGCGCTGTGGGACATATAAATCAGTCTCCGGCCGGAAGCGAGCGGATGGATATAGGTTTGGTAGACATCATAGGTAAAGACGGAAGAGACGGCAATCAACTCCGCAGAGGTAGCTGAAGTGACAGCCATGAAAATAATCAGAAGGGTGCAGACCGCACCAGGTGCTCCAAGGAGTGCAATGGAAGCATACGGCAACGCCAGACCCGCCGTGACCTCGGCATCAGACATCCGTAGAGGGTAGGTGGGAAAAGCAGGGTTGCTTTCAAGGGCAATGGCAGCAAGACCAAGGGTAGTGGCGCAAAGCCATGGGATGGCAAACCATGAAAGCCCTCCCATGATGTACCCCGGAAGAGCGTGGACGGGGTGAGCGGCAATTGCCTTGTTGTAATATCCGTTGTCCATGAAGACACTGCGATAACAATTAGAGCGACTTCAATACGAGATGGACGTATTACTTACGTTCCGAAGTTACCAATAAGGTTGATAACGAAGAAGATGGCCCCCTCCTTGCTTCGCATGGTCAAGTAGGAGCCTTCAGCATTGCCACTAACAGGATGCGCGGCAGCAGCCTTGACGAGAAGATCGTACACTGCGCCAGGAGATCCCAACATGTGGCCATTGGCGTATGTGGTGAATGCAAAGACGAAGATGATGATGATCAGGATAACGGTGTGAACCTGGAGAGCATGAGTATTTAATGCGCCACTAGAGCCGTTCGATGCTCACCCAATCAGTCAAGAATGTAGCCTTAATTCCTCCGAACATGGTATAAATTGCCACGAATATTGGCAGCAAGAAACAACCAGCTTGGGTGGGCATGCCGGTGAGGGCCGCGACGACGTCGGCACCCCCAGTCAACAACATCGCGGTCACGAGGATGTTCGTCATCAAACCAAAGGTTATGAAGATAGCGTGTGTGAATGTGCCATATCGAGCCTTGATAATTTCCAGAAAGGTCTACACCAGTTAGTAACCTCTCCAGGGATATTGACCTCACGTTGATAACTTACGTGGGCATTGGGCGCTTTCTTCTTCAACTCAATGGCGAGGGCGGAGAAGAGTAGAATTTGGACGGTAGCACCGCTGGCATACCAGAAGGGGCCGGAAACGCCATATTTGTATGCAACAGTGGAAGATTGAAGCAGGGTCGCTGCCCAGGTCCAAGACGAGACGACTGCAGATGCCACCAGACCAGACTTCACGGATCTACCAGCGGTGCTGAACATTTCAGAGGTCTGGAGCTCATTGTTGTAACGCTTGAGGGACCACGTGACGAAGATCTGGACGAGTCCGAAGTCAGCGGAGGGTGGTTGGGATGTGAAGAAGGCGGCTGAAGCTTACCATGCCCAGGGCGAACAAGGCGCCGATGCCGAGGACAACTCCATATCCCCAACCGACATTGAGAGGAGGCGCAACAGCCATCTCCGGTAGCAGAGGGTTTCAATGGCTGTACAAGGAAGGGATCGCGTCTACACGCTGTCTCCGGGGTGAATAGAAGCAGACTTGCGATCCAGAATGGTACAAGTGGTCAGACAGGGGAAGAAGGGGGAGGACAGGAGTGGAGGGAGAGAGATATATATATGTATATGTATTGTGTGTATGTCTGACTCTACGTATGTATAGATCTACTGCACCTGGGGTTATATATTGCAGAAGACGCCACACAAAACTATGAAGAGGCCTATTTCGGAGAGAGAGAAGAGGCAAGAGAGGGGAGGGAGAAGAAGAGACTAGGTAACGGGTGCTTCTGCATCGAGCCCTAGATCAAGATATTCTCTTGTTTCCGCGGGCTGGCACGACCTAACATTACCTATCTGTCGTATCGGGGGCTCATCGACGAGCAAGGCGCCCCAGGAACAAAACACGATGATTAATGTTGGCAGATATTATAGGAAGACGAGCAGAGATAGAGAAAGATAAGGTCGGGTGTGGTCGTGGGGCTCTATCGGCTGTTGCATGTTGCAGCTCTGTAACTCGCTGCCGGCACCTGCATCCCCACGAGGTATTCAGCGGGGGGGCCAGTGCAATTGGCGGACTGGGCCTAGGGAGAGCGGAAGCTGACACACCACGATCGTCAAGCGGAACAGGGACGGCCGCTGATTGGATGAGGGGGAGGAAGCAGCGGTGCTGATAAGGAGGGAGGGCGGAAGGGGACGGAGGAGGGGCGGGAGGAGGGCGGAGGAGGGCATGGGAGGACATTATCAGGGACATAAGAGAGGGACATAAGAGGACATAAGAAATAAAAGAGGGGCAACGGGGACCGGGGGGTCGGGACAAAATGCCCCACCTGGCGAGGGCCCCTGCGCCAAAGATGTGCTGCTCGACCTCTCACAGACTCACGGTTCATCGGGCCCCGCGATAAGGATCATGAAGGTGCGCGGACCAAGCCGATCGGCACTGCGAACTATTACGGCCCTTGCCGCATTGGGCAACTTTTTCCGCGCTGGACGCTCTAGCACGACTAGGGCGGCTGGGCAGGGCGCTCTCTACACTGCGCACAGCACTGAGAGTGAACTGCCGTGTGGGCCTTGCGAGGTGTGAGGTCTGAGAAGTCTCAGACTCTGAGATTCTGAGTTTCTGGGACTCTGAGACTAAAAGTACTGAGGTTGAATAGTGGAGTTGCGCCTTGCTCCGTAGGCACAGTCCAACAAACGCGCCTTGCCTACTACCACAGGGCTCGTACCTTACGGAGTAGTAATTATCAATCTCGCATGGTAATCTCTCCCACGCCCAATCACCCGCCGTGCCCCCAGACTCCTTGAGCCCTGTCCGACATCGCTGTCTGCATATGCCAGCCAATGAGAGCCCGCAGGAAGGCAATCATGGCAATGATAATGATACAATCAGTATCTTGGGCTTACACATACATATACATACATCGGATTGCGATTTGCTCTTCGCGCGGACATGCAAAAGAAACGAGGAACACCCCGGGAATAACACCCCCCGAGTGAAGGGAAGGGGAGGAAGCGTGCCATGTGATTGATACCAAAAATTCGCGGAGAAACGATCACTTGAGCATGCAAAAGAAAAAAAGAAAGGGAAAAAAAAAAGAAAGAAAGAAATCCAATGCATCCATATCCACGTCCACGTCCACACCGAGAGACGGCCCTCGCTGAGGTCACAACCTGGTGTAAGATGAGGCCAGACTCTGCGGAAAAAAAGCACCAGGAGAAAGAAAACCCCCATGTCTCCCACGCACCTTCAGACGGCCGGACAGATACAACGGGAGCTGAGCCTGCTACCCTGCTGAGCGGTGATTTCCGTTGGTTGAAACGACATTATATATTATTGCAAGGCCGAGAAGAAATCCCCATACCCCCCGTCCCATCCCGCGCCCATCAAACGCCGGCCCAGCAGGATGGTTATCCTAGGAACGCCGATACCCAACTCTTCTGCCTCCAATCAAGATTATGATAGTTCGCTGCTGCCTTTCAGTTTCCCTGTACCCCAAACGCTTCTCCAGAACCCCACGCATCATCCATACTGCATATGCGGCTGCTCTTTCGGTGGCCCACCTCCCCAACCTTGAGGCGGCCCAGGAGGCGGACCGCGGTTCTGCAAGGGCAGCGCCCCTCCGTTCTGCTGCATCAAGCGCATTTGTTCGAGGACGTCGCCCCGGTTTGCCAATGGCTGTGCGAAATTGCAGATGGAGCAGATGACATCCTCATAACCGTGTATGCTGAGTGGGAGGACCGGTACGAAGCAGAAGGTGAACCAAGGATGACGCTTGACCACCGAGGCCGACCAGTTGCCCTGATTCTGGTCAGCAAAGATGCTCAGGATATGGGTTTCAAATAGTGAACATACACAGTTATGGCACTGGCAAAGCAGTCCTTCAGCGCCTTGAAGCTGAGAGGAGAATTCTAGACTCAGATGTCATTAGCCAACCTGATCTCTCGCCGAGGAGGTGTGACGAAGCAGGGTTGGGCGCAAAAGGGGACATACCATGCTGCCCACAAGTAAAAACTATGCACATGGTGCCGCGATGATAGAAGACTTGTTGATAGAGGAGTATTGGAAGAGTTTACAATATTCCATTTCACGAGCGAGGAGGAATCCGCGTCATCGTCTCAATAAAGCTGTTGTGGCTGTGCTCGTCTCCATTTCCCCAGCCACAACCCCAGCTTGATATAGGTACGGCACACCGTAAGAGCTTCCTGTGCTGCAGCGGTACGGCAATGGCTCTAGGTACGGCGGCCGAGAGAATTTTAAGCGCAATTCGAGAGCCACAACAAAAGCTTCAAGAAAATTTTAGATACTCTTCTTCTTTTTCCTCCAAGCGTCGTCCTCTTCAACGCTGCGTTTCTATGCCACAAACAGATATGTTTTGACCTCTGGTCACTACTATCAGATCTTCGGATCTTCAATATGCATATGAGAAATTCGGAGTACTCTTCAAACCACCTCGTTCCTCTTCCTCCGGGAAGAGTGAACAGGTCTGCCCGTGAGGGCCTGGCGTGAACTCACGTCTGCAATTGGCATCAGAAAAGCAGGACAAGTCTCGCCTTTTGTATCTTCTCCTCTCGAGAAGAGAAGAAGGTCGAGTGCTTGCTCCTATGGGAGGGCCGTTGCGAAGATTGTGTGTGCGAGAGCATGACACTTAAGTGCAATACGCAGCGTGCTGGTCTCTTGGATTACTTCGGTTTTCTAAGAGACAGGTACAATTCGATTCCGATTATCCTGTTGAGGACGACGCTTCAACTTTTCTTCTCTCAGGTGAGTATTCTTCTCGTTGTGCCCTTGAAGAAAGGATACTACTAATATGGATTTGCATTGCTACGATTCCGAATCCTGTACCCGACTCCAAAGCACTCGAAACATTACCGTTACGGTAGCGCCCCTCTGTTGCAACACATAGTTCCATCTTCTTGATGATGTCTACCGATCCAGTCCAACCCAGCATAACTCAACGCAACAGGGGAAGAAAAATGCAGCTCCCCACGCTTCAAACAGGCATGTGCACTGCTCCATCATTGCCACTGCCCCGATTCTTTATTACCATCCTCGATATCACTAGATGCATCAACCTCGTCACTGTCACCACCCCTGTACAGTTCTCTAGTGTTGTCATGGTCTGGACTGATCAAAGTTTTGAGTAAGTCCAACTCGGTGATCAATGCCTTACAGTACTCTCGGCCTTTTGAGACGTCATCGAGCAAGGGCAAGATCTGTCGATTTGCTGTGTAGACCTTCTCTCTGAGACGCACCATGGATTGATAGCGGGTGATGTTCTTGGGAGTATTCAGCGTTCCTTTCTTGATGGACGAATTGAGAACTTCATCTAGAGCTTGAGCGATCTTCCTCTTCCATCCCACAAATTTCTCTTCGTACCCATATCTATTATCTTCATCTCCATGCTGGTCCTCAAGAAGGACGCTTCTACCTTTCTTGCTTCTCATTTTTGAAGTCCATAGATCTTCCAATATCTCCTTGGTTGCGTATTTCTTGATTGACTCAGTTTCGGTATCGTATTCGGATTGAAAGTGGATATAGATCTGCTTAGCTGCTTCAAGCTTGCGATGCAGCCCCTTCATGGCACTGACAAAAGGGAGTGCTTCCTTCCTCTCGTAAGTAATCCCGGGTTTGGAACTTTTCTCGCCATATTCATCAACGAATTCCGGTCGTGGAGACAGTCGGCCCAAGTTTCTGATGTTCTGACCTCGTCTTCTTGCGGTTTCTATTTCCGATGTCGCTACTAATTGCTCAGGCTCTGCAGCAGTGTCTTGAAATCTTGATGCACTGGTCCAGTTTCTTGGCCTGACATTGAAGACATCGTTGCCCACATCTAAGAATACTTGGCCCACACGAGGATCGATGCGCAGTCCATCAAAGTCTGGATAGAGGTCTGCTATACGGCCGTATCGGTCAGTGGATGATGGCCGAGGGGTTATGTAGCTTCGGCGCAAAAGACCGCGTGAGTGGGCCTGGGGATATCGGGAGTTCATCATGGATTTGGGAACGATGTCTTGATGACCGAGGGCCTCAGAATTGTAGCAGCTGTTGAAAACTCAAGAGCATCCTGGAAGCAGAACAGCGTTGCTTTAAGTGCAAAATCGCCCTTTGGTCTAGATAGCTCGGATGCCGACAGGTTAAGGAGTATTTGCTTCTAAAGATTGGAGAGGCATTATGCCGTAGTTGATAATGATTTCCCAATACGGAACCAAGGAAGCATAGCATTCAAAACGGTTGTATTATAAACGTGATTGCGTATTGTCAGGAGGAAACCTGTCTGCATCACGGCATTGGTTAGCATAAGGTATCTATTGCTACTTCGATCTTCTGAACAATCTCCTGAACAATCTCCTGAGCTGTCTCCTGAACAGTCTCCTGAACAGTCTCCTGAACAATCTCCTGAACAAACACGATATTCTTTCTATGACTCTCTCATAATCCTTCTGAAGCAACCCATGAGCTGTTGTGGTCTGCAGGATCCCGCCGCTAAAAACATTGACAGTGCCCCGCCCCGCCCCACCCCGCCTTTACGGCCTTCCCCTCCTCTCAACGTCATGTTTGCTGATTGATCCTCGGCTCTCACGGCCTGGGCTTTCTCCCATCTCTGACACTACAAAAGCGGCTTTTCAATAATCAATGAGTCAATGACTACTCCTTACCATCTTGGTATATATCTGAGGTCTCTTCTTCCCATCCCTGCTCTTGGACGACAGTGCAGACCGTTGCTCAGTGTTCAGACACACATATCGAAGCGAAGAAACGTATCAAGAAGAAGATTTGTAAGCTACGACAAAATGGCAGAAGCAAAGGAATTCCCACCTCGGAGCGTGAGACCGATTGTGAATGAGGTTGTGGCCCTCTTGAAGGAGAGACATGAGACTGTCAGCGTGGCCGAGACTGTACGTATCCTTTGTTTCCTCTCTGCATTCGTTGCTGCCGCAGTCTTCAGCCTCACGCTTTTCCGCTTCCAAGGAAGACTTGTATGGCTTCTTACGCAAGAAGACGGGGGCACGCATTGGCACCTGCACAGGCCGGCCGTTGCTTACCATTGAGACCCTGCTGACATGGATCACAGGCAGCTGGCGGAATCATTTCTGCTTCATTGCTCAGCGCTCCCGGAGCGAGTGCCATCTACAAGGGTGGACTGACGGTCAGTAATGTTTGCTCCTTTTGCCCCTCTCCGTGTTATAGAGAGCCCTCTAGGCAGGCACTCACATGTTTGGACAGGTGTACACCCTCGAATCACGTGTTGCATTTGCTGGCTGGACGCAGGAGAACATCACCAATTACAAAGGCCCAACAACTGACATTGTAGCCGGCATGGCAAGCAACGTGAGGTCGAAGTTGGGAAGCACGTACACGATTTCTGAGTCGGGCACGGCCGGACCAACTGGAGGAGATACTCCTAACAGAACACCGTAAGCCTAACCAGTTCTACTGGGGGCGAGGAGGGCATATTCTTTCCTGCCTTTCCTCCCCTAACAAATCCCCTTTCTTGGAACTCTCAAACTGATGGTGAAATTAGTGGTTACGTTGCACTAGCTGTCGCTACAGAGCATGGGACGTATAAAAGAGAGCTCTCAACTGGATTGGGCGGTGACCGAGAGGCGAACATGATTGCGTTTGCCGTGGAGGCGTTGAAGTTGTTGAGAGATGTTATCAAGGGGAATGCAAAGCCCTAAAGGGAGCTATGCAACCCATATCACATCACCAACCCAGAAAACTAGCTTGTTCGACTCTCAGAATACTGTATGTACTTCGCGTATATAGAGACAGCTGAAGTTTCCAAGTTACCTATGTGGATACTGTCTATGCAACCAAGAATGCCGTGAAGAGGTCAGAAACAACCTGGGTAAAGAGCATTGGCCCACCACCAGAATAACCAGCTCACTACCTGCAAAATCGAAGCTCGCAATAGAAAGCTTCTTGCCCAGAGGTATTCGATGCTTTTTCAAAGACTTACCTATATCCTACCTCTCCCCCAAGTGGGTTCATGGATGGGTAATTAGGTAGGTATATTTGTATTAAATGTACTCTTTCTCCAGCCTACAACAAAACTATAATAGTCAATTAGCATCCAACCAGGGGTCCTATTCTGCGTGAAAGCGTCGTCCATGGAATGGTCATTTGAATCACGTGGTTTAATACGCACGTGAGCTGATGCCCCACAACTTTCAGGTACGTCAAGTTAGCAGCGGATATCTACAAGGCTGTACCTTTCTACCTGGATGCCAGACAATATGCCCTCCCCCGATGAAATCTTTCAGAATTGGAACGGCATCATTTCCAATGACTTCGCAGAAACCATCTCCAAAACATTTGCACTGCCTCCAGGCGACGGCTATCTGTACAGAGCCGAGTCCTTCGCGATGGCCATGCCGCAGATCCAAGAGCAGGTCAACTCGGGCATACTGAAATACAAATACCAATCGCATGGACAGCAAATTGACGTCCGCCACCCCCCATTGGGCTTGTGGAGGCAGAGCGGTGGTGTTGACTGACTTCCAAGGTTGCCCCTGCAGACATCACAGCGTACACCTCGATCTTCTCCCCCACCACCGACTCCTCCAAGTCCTTGACCTCATTCGCCTCCAATGCGAAGAAATCCTCCCCTCGAGAAACTGTTGCGAAATACCTTCAATCACGGCGCATCCCTCCCGCATTCAAGGTCCCGAAATCGAAGTCCCATGTCAACCCTTACTATGACCTCTGGGTACTTTCGTGCCATCTCACCTCCTTCTTGGGACCTCTCCCACACTCCTCATATGCGGATCCGCTCAATGCAAAAATGACACACCCTATCCTTCCAGTGTTCTATCACCATTTCGGCTGTGTTGTCCCCACATACGAGGCTCTGTTCATCGTTTCCCAACTGACTGCCGAGTCTGGTGCAGAGGGAATAATTGACATGGCAAGTGGGAATGGTTATTGGACATACATGCTACGCCGAATGAAGCTCAATGTTGTTGCTGTGGATAATATGGCCAGCGAATATCGAACTATGTGGATTTCCGACACGGTCAAGAGCGATGGGGTTGAATACCTGAAAAGGCATGCCGGTGGGAAGGGAAGGATTTTACTGATGGTATACATGATTACAGCGGGAACCTTCACGAAGAGGGTCGTCCAGGCATATCGTGGGGACACGATAGTAGTTGTCGGAACCCAGAATGCTAATAGGTATACGGGGTTCAGCGATTGCACAGTCGAGGAATGGTTCGAGAAAGAGATGCCCAACTGGCAATTAGTATGCAGAATTGCCATGCCGAGCTTTGCCGGAAAGGATGAAGGCTTCTTTGTCTGGAAAAAGACGTGAGGCGCGGGCGAACGATGAGCAGCAGAATATTTGAATCCACGGTTGCTGATCCGTTCTCTCCCCGTTTCTCTCAAGCGTTTTGATTCGGGTTGAATTGAGTTCCACCCATGACGATGCTTCTTTCTTTCTTTCGATGGTCAGAATTTTAAGTGCCTCCAGGGACCAGCTCTGAACAAGACTTGGATGACCCACAATCTCCAACCCCCATCTCTTTAGTCTATTTTCATGATCTGCCTACGGCCCTACGGTTTCGTATCCCAAGTGGAGTGGGGTATCTACCATTACGTTTCCTTTCCAGAATATCATATTTCGTTCTGAGATAGTTGTTTCAAGAATAGCTCCCAATACTACCACGCATTTTTCACCCGCGTCGCGGCTCCCGTTTCATGATCGTTCATCTATGTATAAGATTTCAGAACTTATAGCCCTTGTACTGCAGCATGGATCGTTCATCTAGATTCGTTGCTTCAGGGTCCACCTTGTGGATCTAAAAGTCCTTTCGCGTCTGTTCCTCCTCGAAGTTCATATTTACAGAGGACTGCTTATGCTCTTTCCTTGATTCAATAGTGTTGGGGTCATAGTGGCCTTGATGGTGCCGCGGTTATGTTTTCACTGATGCCCGATGCCTTCGAGTCCCTTCTGGCGTGTTCTGATTCTACAGCTCCGAAATCCACGTCTAGATACAAGGTCAAGGTGACATTGTGGGGCGTGTACTTGATTAGTTTTCCAGGGATGCTATTGTTCTCGAACAATTACCGTCGCGCTGCGGGACGACATGGACCTGAAGAAGGTATGTGGAGGCGGACAAAAAAAATTGAAAGAATCATAACCGAGAATAATCCAACTTTAGTTATTTCTCCTTCAACTCCATGTGCATCCAGTGTGTTTTGACGGAATGCGGTTGAGATACAAAAATCTTTTTCTATATGTCTGTTGTCTCGTGCCAGAATGTCCAATTGTTTTCGGACTAGTCCAAAGCTTGACCACACTCCGTGTTGGGGTAACCCCGGAGAGGCGCGTGCGGAAAGAGATCCGCAACCTTCTCTCCGCAATCCTGTCTCCTAGGAATTAGTGGAACGCTACACTTTGTGGGATCTGGGCATCTATCCCACTCTTCAATGACAGCGGTGAGCATCAATGATCCTTGTCTAGACCAGCCGAGCAACTGCTTTAGTCTTGCATCTTGACAAGCCTCCTACGGTAATAATCAGGAATTTAGATCTGCGGCGACGGGCGAATCAACACCGAGCTCGGTCGATTATTTCTCATTAATTATTATACTTTGCGCCGCGGTTCAACGTCTAACATGCCAGGCTAGGTGACGGGACCAGCCCCAAATGAAGCTATCCCAACCTAAGACGACCATCCACAGCTAATCGTATGTGTATACAGTATTAGTAAGGAATTACAGAGTAAGGGTCAACAGGAACGTAGATCCTTTACGCCTTTTCTCGCATTCTAGCCAGCATCACTATGTCGGGCTATCTCAGCGTGCGGAGGATGCTGAATACGCGGGGTAAGGGGAAGCGGGGATCCAGAGGGGAGGGCACATCCGGTGATCGTAGGTAATGGACAAAAATTTATTTATATGTTCAAGTCCAACTCCTCCATATGTATTGGTCTTCTTCCCTACAAAAAGGCTACATACAATAGGATCAAGGGTCAGATAGCTATCGAAGGCCGGGACGCTGAACGACTCTAACTTTGTCTCACACTCTCACACTCTCACTTCATTGCGAGTCGCTGCGTATCTAGGATGGTGGACGAGATCGATAAAGCACCTGTTGCGTCCGTTGAAGATGTCCTGGCACAGAAGCCAAAGCAGAGTGCTTACAAGACGATCATAGCTAATCCTTATCTCTTTGGGGTAGCTTTAGTAAGTAAGGACCTTTCCAAGTCCTTTTTCTGGATTCAAAGTCGGGGAGATATGCTGATCAATAGTTTTATAGTTCTCCTCCTTAGGAGGACTCCTGTTCGGATATGATCAAGGCGTAGTCTCAGGAATCTTGACTATGGAGTCATTCGGAGTCGCTTTCCCCCGGATATATCTCGACAGTGGCTTCAAAGGCTGGTTCGTTTCAACACTTCTGTTAAGTAATGCTTGCTCTCATCCTCAGCTAGATATCACATCAGGCTGACAGGACATAGCTGCTTGGCTTGGTTCATTAGCAAATGGACCCATTGCAGATAGCATCGGGCGTAAAAGATCAATCCTTGTTGCTGTTGTGATATTCTTGATCGGCTCTGCTATACAAGCAGGCGCGGTCAATATTCCGATGATCTTTGTTGGTCAGTCTACCCGGATCGAGTGTCATACCATTATGTATACCAGATGGGCTAATTCTTTACATCAGGGAGAGCAATCGCCGGACTGGCAATTGGTATTTTGACCATGGTGGTGCCGCTTTATATGGCTGAGGTTTGTCCTTTCTGTATACTATAGTTAAAGGTGCCTAACGCCTAGATTATAGGTCTCGCTCCCAGAAATTCGTGGTGGTATTGTGGTCCTCCAGCAGTGTGGGTATTTCATGTGCTCCAGTAGCGGCCTTCGCAAATCTAACTAGACGTTCTCCCCAGTGGCCATAACGGTGGGCATCTTGGTATCCTACTGGATTGATTACGGAACTCATTACATTGGCGGCACTCGATGTGCTCCCGATATTCCATACACCGGCGGAACCGCGAGCGACCCGACCTTTGACCCCACGCGTGATGTAGGACCCAACGGCTGCACCGGACAGAGTGACGCATCGTGGAGAATCCCTTTTGCTCTTCAGATCTTACCGGCAATTATCTTGGGCATCGGAGTGCTGTTCTTTCCTGAATCACCACGTTGGCTAATGAAACAAGACCGAGACGAAGATGCCATTAAGACTCTGGAAAAACTGCGGCGCCAGTCCAGGGATCATCCACTTTTGGCAGCGGAGTATATTGAGATCAAAACCGAGGTGATGTTCGAGCAGCATTCTGTGATGACGAATTACCCTAATACTTCTAAATCCCGCATCCAAGTCATGCAGTACTGCAGTCTCCTGACGAATAAATCGAGTTTCAGACGACTTGCGGTTGGCTGTTGCATCATGTTTTTTCAGCAATTCATGGGCTGCAATGCCATGATATACTACGCCCCAACCATCTTTGGGCAGCTAGGATTGAACGGAAACACGACATCTTTGCTCGCAACTGGAGTCTATGGCATTGTGAATTGTCTAAGCACACTACCCGCGCTGTTCCTCATCGACAAGGTTGGAAGACGGCCATTGCTCATGGCTGGAGCTGTGGGAGATACGATCTCTTTAGTCATTGTTGGCGCTATCATTGGCAAGTACGGAAAGGACCTTGTCAATCACAAGGCTGCTGGCTGGGTTGGCATCGCATTCATCTACATCTACGATATCAACTTCTCGTATTCCTTTGCCCCGATTGGATGGGTCCTGCCTTCTGAGATCTTCAACCTGGCAATTCGGTCGAAGGCGATCTCAATCACAACATCGACGACATGGATGTGCAACTTGTAAGTTCCCTGTTATTCTTGAGAGATACAGAGGGGACTTATTGTCGTAGCATCATTGGTCTCGTCACTCCAGACATGCTGAACACTATCACATGGTATGTAACTATAAGCACTAGTCAACATTTTACACACAAACTAAGTAGCATTTTAGGGGAACATACATTTTCTTCGCAGCTTTCTCATTGATAGCTCTCTGCTTCACCTATATTCTCGTCCCAGAGACACGGGGGAAGGTAAACCGATTCTTCACCCAATATAGATTCATTACCGCTACTGACACTCCCTATACAGACTCTAGAAGATATGGATATGGTCTTTGGCGAGACCGCAGCGCACGAAGAGAAAAAACTCATGCGCCAGATCGAAGCCGGCTTAACGGGAACACACGCGGATAACATAGCGAAGGACATACCTAGTCTGGCAGAGCATATTGAGAAGGTAGCTGAGAACGTCTAGCTGTTGGTAGGTAGGTAGGTATCTATCTAGGGAATAGCTTGGTAGATGAGGGATTGATAGATCTGTTATTTTGGATCTGTGATAGAGAGAAAGCAGTATGAGGGGGGGGCATCTATCTGGATAATGCTTGGGACTGGAAAGCTCCTAGCTAGCTCTTTCAAAACAAAAGATCCTAAATTCCAGAAAGCCCTCTTCGATACGGCGCGGGAGTGTAGGTAGACCTTAGAAAGCTCGCCTTTCCTTCCTATATTCCCCCCCCC